TCTAAAATTGAGTAAAAATATGAAGTTAGGAATTAAAAACACAAAAATCAGTAACAATATAAATTTTTATAAATATTTAATATTAATATTTAACAGTAATCATTTTTGTAAGCTTGAATCTAACTTAGTAGTCTTTTAACAAGACTAACAACATGAAATTACTACTGTAAAAATATATTAAAATAAGTAAAATTTCAAAAAAATAATATAACTAAATTTTATGTAATTTATAACTAAATATATCAAATATTGGCTAAAAATAATTTTTAAAATAATTAAAAAAAATTCTCAATTCTGAAAATTTTGTATTTTGTGAGCATTTGGCCTATTTTGAGCTACAAAATTTCTAACATTCCACAATTTTTAATGATAAAGAAAAGCACAAATTTGAATTAAAAATGTAATAATACAACTTAAATTTTGTTTCAATAAAAATGATTTCTAAAAGCCTATGTTTCAAAGGTTAAAACTTTAAAAATCATCACAAACAGCCCAGATTTTTTGGGTTTCAGATTCATGAAACCTATTTTGGATTTTTGATTCTCTTAGTTTGTAAATCATCTGAACAAACCAATTACACCATTAGAAGGATCACATTTTGTACTATCAAAAACATCTAAAATTCAACCAAATTGGCCATAAAAAAAAAATTCAACTATCTAAAGTTGGGTTACCAAAACTATCAAATACCTTTTTTTTGCAATGTAAAAAATTTATAACTCTTAAAATACACAACCAAATTAGGTGCAACAAAAACAATTGAAAAGGTTTTGAAAAGAGCTTTCCATAGGTATCAAATATGTGTTAGGAATAATGACTTAAATTTCATAACAAATTTATTTGAGATTATTAGATATTGTTTGATGAATAAAAAAACTTATAAAAGAATAATTCAAAAAGGAAAAATATTATTGGTAGGCAAGTTTATATACTTATAAATAGATGGATTCTCCATTAAGTTAGGTATAAGAAAAAAATGTAAAAGAATTGTAAAGTTTTATGCGATAGACAACCTATTATGTCTATGGGTGTGATGTTTGTGAGTAGATTAGAGAAGATTAAGTTGATCCACATAGATATGATACATTGGTGCAATGGATATATGTTTGTTTGAGTTAAAAAAACTTCATAGGACTAGAAAAGATTGAGAGTGTCTATGAATATTAATTGTTGAATGGTTGATTAAGACTATATATTTGTAATTCTTTATAACTAGTGAATTTTTTTTCATTCGTAGATGCAAGTCGATTGGATTAAACCACATTAAATTGTTATCTCTTAAATGATTTATTAGTCATTTAATTATACTTCCACTGGCTTGATTATTTAATTGATTAGAGACTTTTTAGCTTAACAAGTAGTATCAGAGTTGTCGTATTTCTAACAAATGATATTAGAGCTAAAGATTCAAGACATACGAAGAGACAAGCTCAGAGAAGCTCGATTCAAGTAAAGAGGTCAAGTTCGTGTCTTGAAGATTGATTTGTATGAAACGTAAAGATACAAGAAAAGATTGTTACAACATTTTTATTATAGATGCAGCAAAGCATGTCTAGCATAAAAATTGATAATTCGGTAGAATTTGAGTCAAGAAGAAGATTATTAGGAATAATAACTCAAATCTCGTAACAGATTTGTTTAAAATTAATTAGATATTACTTGATGGATAAGAAAACTTACAAAAGAAGAATTTTAAGAGGAAAAAGATTTTTAATAGGCAAGTTTGTATGCTTATAAATAGGTTGAGTTTCCATAAAGTTAGGAATGAGAAAAAGATGTAGAGAGTTGTAGGATTTTATGAGATAGACACCCCATAAGACTACAGGAGATTAACGTCTTTATGGGTGTGTATGTTTGCGAGTAGACTAAAGGAGACTAAAATGGTCTACATAGATATGACGTTTAGGTGCACATATGTATATATTTATTTGAGTTGAAAATACTCCATAAGACTAGAGAAAATTAAGAATATGTATGGGTATTTAATTGTTGAGTGATTAATTGAGATTATATGTTTATAATTTTCTACAACTAGTAGATCTTTTTTCTCATATATGAAAGTAAATCGATTGAGCTGAACTACGTTAAATTGTTGTCTTTTAAGTGGTTGATTGATCGTTTGATTATGCTTTAGCCATCTTGATTGTATAATTGATTGGAGACTTTTTAGCCTAACAAGTAGTATCAAAACTATCATGTTTCTAATAATATGCTCCCAGAAACCACAGGAAGGTTGTCAAAAAATTTAAAATGATTAAAAATCCTAATATAATACTTGGGTTTGTCTCATAAAAGCCAAAATTAAAAAGTGTAAAAGATAAATCTTTCCTTAATCATTCAATTGTAGGCCTAAAATATCAAATTTCAACATCTTTTATACCTTCAAAAAACCACTAAAAGATTGTCAAAAAATTTAAAAAGATTAAAAATCATAATCTAATACTTTGGTTTTTCTCATAAAAACTAAAATTGAAAGTATAAAATACAAATCTTACTTTAATCATTAAATTATAGGCCTAAAATATCAAATTGTAGCATCTCTTATGCTTCTTTGGGGTTTTTTCAAGTCTACCTAATTTTTCTTCTATAGAAAACTATCAATAAAAATTATCGATAAGATTTTTTTTCTCCTCTTTTAAGTTTTTTTACATTAATAATACTTATGGGCTAGATCAACTAATTAGGCTATAATAAACTTGGGCTTAGGTAATATAGAGAGAGTTTAGAATTTTTTATGGTGAAAAGTTTGAAATGAAATAAAAAAAATTGTGTTTTATAGGCTTGAAAAAAAAAAAGACAAATGACCCACACGTTAACTCAGACCTAACTCAAGGTTTATGTGTCTAACCTGACACCTGATTACTGCTGCTAGCCCTAGATCAATCCAATCGAATTGCTGTTAAACCAGTCGAACCACCCGTGAACTACTCCAAATTTGTTGAACCATTGTTGAACCAGACTAGACCATCATTGAACTATTGACTAGTTTTAACTAGTCCTTTTTTGGTAATTTTTATTTTTTATACTTTTGTTAAGTTATTTATTTGTTTATCTATACATTTTTAAAATGTAAATTTTTTAAAATAAATATTTATATAAGAAAATGAAGAGGTGTTAAAAAAAATCTTTTTAAAACAATAAAAATGAAAATCCCTTAATTATGAAATATTAAGAAAATCTGAGTAGTGATTTTTTAAAAATCTCTAAATAAGAATTTTTTAAAAAAATGCTACCAAATTTTGGTGTATTTAGAAACACATTTAATACAAAAAAATTTTCATTTATTGATTATTTTTAATTAAAAATGGAAGAAAATAAGAAAATAAGTTTTTTAGAAATAAAGTTATATATAATAATACACTAATATTATTTGCATCAAATAATACACATGACACATCTCCAAAGATGGGATTATAAAAAAATCCGATTGATAATTCCTAAAAAAATCAGCATGTAAAATTTTTTTTTCTAACGTTACTAACATTCTGAAATAATTTTGAGAATTTTTCAATAACAAGCTTTTAATTTATTCTTTTAAATAAAAATGAAATAATATTTTTTATTTAAAGGAAAAATTAAAAGAGAAAATTTTGAGAAAAAATACAAAAAAAAATGAAAGACCAATATTTGGATAATAAAAAAGTGATTTAAGGAAATTATGTTTTAAATTTTTTTTTTTTTTGCAAGATTAAAGGATAAAACATGATTCATTGATATGTTTTTAAAATGAGTGTTATGGGATGCTAATATTTCCCTAGGTATAATCATACTTTCTAACTCAACTATTCTCTTATACCTAAAAATTATTTTTAATAAATTTTAATTAATTTTAAGATTTTATTGAAAATATAAATTTTCTTAAAAGGTCAATCACACCTACCTAAAAATAATTAATGATAATTTTTTATTTTTTTTAAATTAATCTAACGATCCCAAAATCATAATGACAATCTTTAACTAATACACCTAGAGTTATAGCAAGGTGCATCTCTTTTTTTACTTTATAAAAAAGTCGAATTTGAATCTTCTACTTTTAAAATTGTGCTTAATTAAAACGACACTTAAATTAATGGTTGAATTTTTCCCTTCAATTTAAATTTATTTTCTTTTTTGCTCTTATTTAATAAAAACAAATTAAATTATCAGACTTGCATTTCATCATTTGTTTGAATTTCTTGAGTTTCAATCTATCTCCTTCAAGCATGATGCATCCCTTTTATAAAAAATCCAAATTCGAATCCTTTCTTTTCTAAAATTGTACTTAATCCTAAAAAAACTTTAAGTAACGGTTAAATTTTTTTCTCTTCAATTTCAATTTATTTCTTTTTTTTCTTTTATTTAAAAAGAAAAGACTTGAATTATGAAAGACTTCTAATTTATCATTTCTATAGCTTTCCTTGAATTTCAAACTATTTTTTTGAGACATGATGCATCTCTTTTTTTTTTCTTTAAAGCCGAATTCTAACCTCTTCTTTCTTGAAATTGTACTTAATCTTTAAAAAAAAAAAAATCTTTGGTTAATAGTTCAATTTATTTCATTTGATTTCTATTTATTTCCCTTTTTTGAGCTTATTTAAAAAGAAAAGAAATATTTAAATTATCTCAAACTTTCAATTCATCATTTCTATGATTTTCCCCTAATTTCAATCTATCCCCTTAAGCATGGTGCATTTTATTTTTCAAAGAATGGGATTCAATTTTTTTTAATTATATTTAATTTTTTTAAAAAATCTTCAATTAATGGTTGAATTTTTTTTATTTGATTTCAATTTATTTCTTCTTTTTTTTATTACATGAAAAGCAAAAATAAATAAATAAATCATCGCAAAGTTTTCATTCATTTACTGTGAATAATATATTATATTGTTAAATGATGTCACATTAAATTTTCATTCAAAGATATTTCAAGAGCCAAAACCTTATTTTAAAAAAAAAATCGATTAAATGTGTGTTTATACACACAATTAAGTTGGTATTATGTTAGAAAATATGCGTTTCCACTTTCATTTCTGAAAATCAGCACATGCATTTAACGAGCCATTGAGTCCACAACACCTACTCATCTTAAACTTCTCTTGCTAGTCACAAAAAAATCTCATTCCATGTTTAGTTGTCCAAACAGTTATGACAAGTAATCACTAGCCACTTCTCAGTCTATATGTCTCACTTACATTGTTTAACTGGATTCCAGCCTCCGTCTATATTAAGCTCTCTGACTTCTCGTTTCTGTCGAAGAAATTGATCAAAAATGGCCGTTTCTGGCTCTTTGTTTAGACCAAACCAACCCCTTTCTCCATTTCTGAAACCTACAAAGCCAAACCTTAGTTGCAAAAAACATGTTAGTAAATCTAATGCTCAGTTTTCTGTCTGCTCTACTTTTTCTCTTCATTTAACATAAGAGGTTTTCTCATTTATTTTTGGTTTCGTTTGTGTTTAAATGATTCTGGTTTTGATATATCGATGATGTGGGGTTTTCTTTTACTGCAAAGTCTTATATTGGCGATGCAAATTGGTGGTTGCTGTTGTGTTTTCAGTTCTGTCTGAAAGCCTCAGCGGGAAACTTGGAAGATGAGGAACCTAAAATGAGTATAAGGAAAGAAAATGATGGCTGGAAGATCGATTTCTCAGGACAGAAACCGGCTACGCCATTGTTGGACACCATCAACTACCCTGTTCATATGAAGAATTTGGCCACAAGGGTAAAAAACTACAGGATCATCACAGCATCCTCTGTCTCTCTGTTAATCTCTTAATCAAATTCTTCATTTCTTGTCTCATGATTAGGCAGATGGTTCCTGTTATTCTGCTGGCCTTTTTGTTATTATTATTATTTTTTTTATATCGGCACGTATACCTTTAGGAACTTGAGCAACTAGCAGCAGAGATTAGAGCAGATATTGTGCACACTGTATCGAAGACCGGTGGGCATCTGAGCTCAAGCTTGGGAGTAGTAGAGCTGACGATAGCTTTGCACTACGTGTTCGACGCACCTGAGGACAAAATTATATGGGATGTTGGCCATCAGGTGAGAGAGTCTAGCAACTTGTTTTCAGATGGAAGTTTTAAAATAGCATATTTAAATGCCTCCTTAAAAAACAAAAGCAGAAGATGGTCCTGATCCTGAAAGCAACAAATTTCAGGCATACCCGCATAAAATTCTGACGGGAAGAAGGTCGAGGATGCACACGATTAGAAAAACATCTGGGCTTGCAGGGTTTCCAAAGAGAGATGAGAGTGTTTACGATGCTTTTGGTGCTGGACACAGCTCTACAAGCATATCAGCTGGACTTGGTATTTACTTCTTACAGCAAACTTCTTTCATTCCATAACTGAGAACTTCAGAATATAACTTGCATTCAAATTTTTGTTTTTAAATGTAGGCATGGCAGTGGCTAGAGACCTTCTAAAGAAAAAGAATAATGTCGTTTCAGTGATTGGAGATGGAGCAATGACCGCAGGACTTGCATACGAGGCCATGAATAATGTAGGATGCCTTGATTCTAACCTAATTGTCATATTGAATGACAATAAACAAGTATCTCTACCAACTGCAACCCTAGATGGCCCTGCAACCCCTGTTGGAGCTCTCAGCAGGGCTTTAACCAAGATTCAGGCAAGCAAAAAGTTCCGCAAACTTCGTGAAACAGCAAAAGTAAACCTCAATGCTTTTTTTTATTTCTGTTTCGTATCCCAATTATTCATCTCCAATCTTTGTATCAACAGAAATCTGACTGGGATTACTTGCGTTGAAGGGCCTCACTAAGCAATTTGGAGGACAGGCACATGAACTTGCAGCAAAGGTAGATGAGTATGCAAGAGGAATGATCAGTGCTTCTGGCTCCACTCTCTTTGAGGAACTAGGGCTATATTACATCGGACCAGTTGATGGACACAATATTAAAGATTTAGTAGCCGTGTTTGAAAAAGTGAAAGCCATGCCTGCCCCAGGGCCAGTTCTAATACACATAGTGACAGAAAAAGGAAAGGGCTATCCCCCAGCCGAAGCTGCAGCTGATAAAATGCATGGTAAGATTGCAACTCTTAATCAGTTGTGATGTTATGACTTGTCAAAATGATCATTATTCTATCTGCTCTCAGGTGTTGTAAGCTTTGACACAAAAACAGGCAAGCAATTTAAGTCCAAATCCTCTACACTGTCATATACACGGTACTTTGCTGAATCTCTCATCAAAGAAGCTGAGGCTGATGACAAGATTGTAGCGATCCATGCAGCTATGGGTGGGGGAACAGGTCTCAATTTCTTTCAAAAAAGGTTTCCAGACCGCTGCTTTGATGTGGGGATTGCCGAGCAACATGCAGTTACTTTTGCAGCTGGTTTAGCCACTGAGGGTTTCAAGCCATTCTGTGCCATATACTCATCGTTCTTGCAACGAGGATATGATCAGGTGTGCTCACAACAATGGACATCCTACATCGGATATTATCAGATTTCCTCCAAAAAAAAAATCCCATCATTTCTCACTTTTTCCTGATTGGCAATTTTGTTGGAAAATTTTACTCCAATAGCAGGTGGTGCATGATGTGGATCTTCAAAAATTACCTGTCCGCTTTGCAATGGATCGAGCTGGCTTGGTTGGTGCGGATGGACCTACCCACTGTGGGGCATTTGATATCACAAACATGGCTTGCTTGCCCAACATGGTGGTAATGGCCCCATCTAATGAGGCTGAGCTTATGCATATGGTTGCAACGGCAGCAGCCATCGATGACAGACCCAGCTGCTTCAGGTTCCCCAGGGGAAATGGTACTGGAGCCGTTCTTCCACCAAATTACAAAGGAACTCCTCTTGAGGTTAGGATAATCAATTTTTGGATAACCAAACAGATTCGTACAGAGCAGATGAACTGATTAATGTTTCTTCTTTAATGGTTGAATAGATTGGGAGAGGAAGAATTATTATGGAAGGCAATAGAGTAGCTATTTTGGGTTTTGGTTCTATAGTTCAACAATGCACTGAAGCAGCACACATGCTCAGATCTCAGGACATTTATATAACAGTAGCTGATGCAAGATTTTGCAAGCCTCTAGATAGAGATCTCATCAAGCAATTAGCAAATGAGCATGAGATTCTTATTACTGTAGAAGAAGGTTCTATTGGTGGTTTTGGCTCACATGTATCGCATTTCCTGAGCTTGACGGGTATTTTGGATGGATCTATCAAGGTTTTTTTTTTTCTAAATATCAATTTCTAGCTTCTTCTCTAAAAATTTGCCATTTTCACAGTTCGATTCTATTTCTCCTGTATCTAACTAGTTTTAGAGTCTCTCTGCAGTTGAGAGCAATGGTGCTTCCTGACAGATACATTGATCATGGATCACCCCAAGACCAGATACAAGAAGCGGGGCTATCCTCAAGACATATCTCTGCGACAGTCTTATCTATGCTAGGGAGGCCAAAAGAAGCCCTGCAGCTCAAGTAAGCACCAAATAAAATAAAATAAAATAAGAATCTAGCACAGCGAGACAAAAAATTCGAAAGGAAGTTATTAAGCGCATGGAATATGATGGAAAACTCAGCTAGGGTCCAAGCCAATGTTAGATCTCTGGATTCTGCTTTCGAGGATTAGAGAAAATTGTACAAATCTAACTTAAAAGATTTGTATATGGATTGTTGTTGTTGATATAGAAGGTCAAAACTCCTTTTGGTATCACAAATGAACTAGTAAAACCACAGTTCTGTTTTTGTTAGTTCGTTGGTTGCATCGTGTAATGAACATCACAAAAAAGCTTGAGTTCCCACCCCTTATTTCACTCTGTTTTTTGTTCCTGTTGGAATGAATTTGGCAGATGGAACACATCAAACTTGCACTGAAAGTGTCAAAATTAAGTGGATTCTCAACTGTCTCAGATTTGATAAAGAATCCATTTGGATAATTACTAGCCAACAAAAATTTTCAATTGGAGTTAGGGCTTTGATAAGTGGAGTTGAGTTTTAATTGGTGGATGAACCTGTCATCCGTCAAGCTCAATGAGCAGTAATGCAAGTAGAACCCGCAGCAAAGAACAGGAGGATTTTGAAGAAGGGAGAATGGTAGCTGCGGTCACACTTCAAAGGCATATGAACATCTATACTAATTCACAAAGGGAGCTTTAGTTCACTCTTTACATCTAATGAACCTCGTTTTAAATTTAAGTGGCCTATCCTCTCCAATCAGATCCTATGTGAATTTCTTGGCACGAGAAAATTATAACTCTTTTTCTATTTATATTTAAAAATTCCTGTCTTTACATTTATCTTTTTCATATTTATACGTATAAAATATAAAAATTATTGCATTAAAATTTTTATATTTTCACTAAATTTATATGTAATTTTTATTAAATTTTTAAACTTTCCTATAATCTTTTTAATATGTCATCAGTTAGACGTCAGGTCCACATTTATCTTTACTCTTCTCTCTTTAAGTAGAATAATTATTACAAATTATCATCTTTATTTCCATAACACATATTTGTTGGAGGAGATACAAGACTAGCCACAAATTACCTCACCAATAACCTCTAAAAGAATTAGTTTAATATCTAAAGTGAAGGAGTCTATTCACATGTCAGGGAGCTGTCTCCATCACAACATCATTAATTTTAATAATATTAAAGCCTCCTCTTTCCTCATTCAAATCCTGCTTTCTTAACTCCGGTAGTAGTGTAGCTCTTCAGTGTAGACAAAAAAATATAGCTGTAAAATTATGAGTTCCCTCTATTAATATCAGTACAACCGATAGGTGTTTCTTTGCCTAGTCAAGGGAAATTCCTTTGAAATCTCCCTCTTCATTGTTGTAAAGCGAATTGGTGGCTCACAGCTTTTGTGTCACTGGTTATGGTTTAATGGAAAAAATGATCAGTTTAGTTTATCAGTCCAATATAATTGGATAAATGTCCAATAGTTATCATTTACAAATTATGATTCCCCATCAACAAAATCCTGCTTTAAAATGATGAAATATTTTTGCATCTCAGGGAATTATTTTCTCTTTCAATAACCTTGGAGACTAATTTTATCCACAACTGAGGGATGACAGTCCCGATACCATTCTTCCATAAAGCAAAAGCAATTGCAAGTTTCCCACTCTGATAATACAGAGGCCTTTCCTTCTTATCCTCGTCTATATCCTGCAACACAAGGCCTTTCCAAATTGGAAAAAAATTAGAATATCAGATTTATAAAACCAAAAAATAATAATAATATTACTTTTTTTTATTGGATTATATGTGCTAAAACAATGGTCCATCGATTATTTGAGTAGACGAATAATGTTTTTATTTTTTTAATTATTCAAAGAGTTGTGTTGCCTTAAATCATGATTATGTTTTCTCTTGTTTTAAAAATGAGATAATCAATTAGCCCAATCCCTCTTACATGGTCCCAACCTCTATTTCTTAAATTCAAGCTTCGAATTTTAAATAATTATAAATCTAAAACCTTCTTTCTTGACCTTATGATTACTTGAGATCTAATATTCTATCAAAACTTGACAAAAATACAATAAAAACTTTGCCCTTATGATTACGACCTAACTAAGTTACACATTTAAATGATCATCTTTCTAATTGCTAGGATACATCATATTTTTAGGAAGCATGAGTACAAAATCTGAAGAATTTTCAAAATGTTATAAATTTCCACGGTATGTTAATCCTCAAACTAGAATTGAGTTTTTTCGGAGAATATACAATCGCTTGCACAAAGTATGAATTAGAGCACATAGAAATATAACATCTTATCTTTCTAATGACAAAAGTTGCAAAAATTTCAGTGAAACCAGTAATATCGAAATAAGCCCATTCTCACCAATAAATGTACTTGCAAAACTATTTATTTGGCGGCGGGGTCAGCTTATTTTCCTCAGAATCATGCTTCAAGGTGGTATCCCCACCCATCAATTCCTGAAAACCTTCAACCTTCACTGGTGGAGCTCTAACAATACCCATGTTCCTGCATGTATATATACAAGAAGTTGAATTTCGGCATATGACCCATATGATATTATCCCAAAGTAAAATTAATTCTACATCAGAATTTTTCTTACGGTGTTTGCATTGGAGGAATTTGTGGAGACATCAACTGCCTCAATTGATTGCTGGACTGAGCATGCAGATTTGATATTGCAGCAAGTTGCTGCTGCTGATGGAACTGCATTTGTGGATTTCCGGTATTGATAGGATTAAAAGCATAGTTATCCATTGGCAGCTCTGATGGGTTTTCAATCTTAACTTGCACCATAGGTCGGTCTTTATCCATATCCCTAACAGAACAAGAGGGGGATGGATGGCGTCTCCGCATTCTATCCAATTGCTGCTGCTGCTGCTGAAAAGTTAAATTTTGAGGATGAACCATCTGCTGCATCTGCGGATACATTTGTCTTGTCATCTGTAGCTTCACCATCAAATTTATAGAATAAATGTTGTTAAGCAGACCACAACTCAATACAGAGTTAAGCAAAAACCAGGAGCATTTCTTCTAATCTTTCATCCATAAGCCTACAAAGTACTAACCGATGTGCTGCATAATAAAAATATCTAATATAATCCTCCAAAGACTATATCAACATTAAAAGCAGGTAAACCCCAGAATTATAACTATATCAACATCAAAAGCAGATAAACCCCAGTATTATAAAGATCTCAGGTGAAAGTCATAACCCTATAAATCCAGCTCCTAATTATAAATCCACGTCAAATGACAAAGATGAGTACAATGAAAACATTAATGGCACACATAAGGCTTTTATTTTCAGGAGCACCTGACAGCAAGAAGTGTCCACGCAAGCCAATCAGCAGAAGGCAAAAAATAAAATAAAAATATACATACTTGCTGGGCCATTCGAAGAGCATTTTGGTGCTGTGGCTGTAATTGTGACTGGATCCCATGCATTTGTTGCTGAGTTTGTTGCACTATGTTCCTGGTACTATCCTTGACAAGTTCAGCTAGAGTCCCAAAGTTACTGCAATAAAAAAAGAAACAAACAAGATAATACATGAAATAGAGAAACCCTAATCAAAGGATAAAAAAAAAAACACAAAAAGAGATATGTTATTTGATGTTAAAAACAGAAACATCAAAAAGTTGATAATAAGAAAAGTCGTACAAAAGAACATACATATATAGAACAACCTAATTCAAAGGGAAGAGCAAGTTTAAGACCAGTCAATTAGCTCTTATCCAAAATAAACATGCTTTTGCCAGAAATTGTCCAAATTAGGCATCAATATTATAGCATATTAATAATGAAATTATGATTCTCCAATCATGAAAAAAGAATGTCAATGTACAATTACTTCAAATCATAAATTTACTCACAGATATTCTAAAAAATTTTGTTTAAATTTATAAATGAAGGAGAATCCAATTTCAAAGATTCTTCCTCTTTCCCAATGTGCAAAAAATATTCAATGACAGTGCATCCACGCAACATACATTCTTCTTTAAATATTCAAGACCAATTAACATCGTACTTGAGCACCCAAATAATTTTTTTTGGAAAGTTAAAAGGTGACACAGTGACAGTGAATTAGAACCAATGCCATAAAGTAAAGCAAACTGGATTTCAAATTTTACCTATATCCAGATGTTTGAAGAAACATTCTAATTAGTTCAATGGCTGAACACTGTTTTCTGTAATTATCAGTAAGAACTTTTAAATTACGACCAAGTTTAGAAATGTGACAGCTGAGAAACTGAGAGAAGACTTCCAGCGGAGCTTCTGTGGCACCTTCAAACCCAACACCAGTCAGTAACCGTGCTATGACTTTTCAAGACATCTGTGATGCTTGTTCTGGACCAAGGTGCTTCCTGTTATTCTTGCCACGAGGTATGTTTCCACCCTGTTCCATGTTGACGTACTCAGGCCTTATACCAAGCCTCTCAATCATAACAGGACTCCGGGTTGAAACCTGCAGTAGAGTATCAAGAACTCCGTAGAACTCTACCATCTTCTTATCCCGCACTCTGGTTGTTGGCGGAAGGGCACTATCAGGAACACAGTTCATCATAAACACTGTTTCAGGGAAAAAGGGGATGTCATCATCGGCTGAGTTATTGCCATCTAGAACAGAATTTGATTCTAGACTAGTATTTCCATATCCCGTGCATTGATCTTCCTGAAATGCCACACATCTTGTCTTATGCTTCTGAATAATCCTAAGATATGTAGTCATCTCCTCTGGTGTACGTTTTTCAGACTCTCGGTCCCCAAAAGACAACTTAAAGGTCAGGTAAGTCTATACTTATCAATAAATTGATTATACCATGTTTTTGGCAACTCTTCATTCCTATATCTCTGGGAAAAACTATCAAATTCAGATTCACCATATCTGGGTCCAGCACTAAAAGATAATTTAGACTGATTTCCAAAAAACAGGGAATAATTAGAAACTTCCCATTAAACATAGAGTAACAAAGAGATATAATCAATAGAAACTCAGTTTGGTTGTTGCTTTTACTACCAGAAGCAAAAAGCAATTCCTGCATTTGGATGTAAATAGCAAGCAATATTTACCATTTACTCATTTTTATCAAATATATAATTTTGTTTTAATTATTTACTGATACTTTATAGCCACTTTAGAAACTAAAAATAATCACCTCAACATGAAAAATTAGAGTAAAGCCACACTAATTTGAAAAAAAAAAAAAAAAAAAAAAAAAAAAAACGAAATTGTGAAACTAAATGCTGAAGTAAGGAGAAAAATCAGACCGACGGTGCCGTATTAGATGCAGCGCCACCATCCTGTAACGAACCCTCCAAAGTAAAGTATACGTCATCATCGTGCAACTGCAAATCTAACCAAGGCAAAAATATTTTTTAAAAAAATAAGATTTTTTTTTCAAATAACTAAACAAATTAAGTTAATTATTGGACAAAACTCCTTACAATTCGGATTAAGCTTTGAAACAGCAACTGAAGAAGAAGAATTGGCGGCGTTGGTAGTGTTGGATCTCAGGAAGAGAGCGACGGAGGCCTTATCAAACAAGAGTGCTCTGAGCCGGAGATGGATCTGAGCCCTAGACTTTGAGTCGTCAACTCGCATGAACGATTCCCATTCCGAAGGAGTCGAGAGAGAATGAATGAAAGAGGCGTGGATTGAATCGCCGAGCCAGGCTCGCCTAACGCCGCATGACTCTAACCGCAGAGATAGGTCGTAGCCACGTTCGTCATCGCCGAGAAGATTCATTTTGTGGGGGAGGGAAAAGAGCTGGGAATCTTGAGAGTTTTGGACATGCTTATGGGTCAGAGTAAAATTGGGTTGACAAATTTTTGTTGGGAATGTTGGTCCATTTTGGGCTAATTGGGCCTGATTTAGGAGAAATTTAAAATAATTTGAGATTGAAAAACGCGCCAGGTAGGGGTCGAACCTACGACCTTCTGCTTAGGAAACAGACGCTCTATCCACTGAGCTACAGGCGCTACTTGTTAACATAGCTCACCCTAAACCTTACATTTTTATATTTTACATTTAATTTTTTTTTCACGCAGAAGACCCCAGCAGAAAATAGAGAAAAATGTTTTAAGTATTGAAATTGAATTTTAAATCAGTTATATTTTTTAAAATATCTACATGAATCAATAAAACTTATAATTTTATGATTCATTTGATAATATGGTGGGAGTGCTAATGTCATTTTAAAATTAATCCTTTACTCATAAAATATAATTACGATGCAATGATAGTTGATTCCATTATGTCATCAAATGAATTATTAATTTGTTAGCGAGTTATGGGTTTTTTTTTACTTCTATGAATAACAAAAATTTTAATTAAATACTATCACAAATCGACATTATATAAGGTACGTAAGGAGGCTTGTCTCTTGTAGGATTCGGCCAAGGTACAAAAAGAGAGGCACTTGACTTGGCCTGAGAATTTTGTAATAGAAAAAAGATTAATTGAGAGCCAAGAGATGTTTTTCAACAAGGTCCTTTCAATAATGGGCCCTTCGAGAAGCACCTTCCATAGGGAAGGAGAGAGGAAATGAGGATGTAATCAAGGGAGGAGGGCTTCGTTTTCGTACATGTTTGAAGGTGACTTCATCTGTTGGGATGAAGGCCAAGGGACCTTCTTACCCTAACTCCATCAGTGTTTCCAGCTAATAATGATTCTAACATACAATTGTATTTTATAACTCGAAGGGAAAGGGAAAAAGTTACCTTTACTCTTGGAATTTATATAAAAGGGAAAAGTCTAGGTGGCAAGCAACCTATATTCAGATTGAATAACAATACTATTAAAACATGATATTACTATAATTTATTGCTTGTAATTTCACGAATGTGATCGGATTCCAAGTTCTTCAGATAAGAAATTGATGGAACAAAGCATAAATTCTCTCGTGTATTGCTTTCATGGGATTACCTAGTTAGAAAGTCTTCAGAATGACACTATCCAACAGGGAAGGCAAAGTTATTAATGTCCCATAATTGCTTTTAACGAAAATGTTTTCATCAAACAAGTTTTTTCTTCATACAAGCTTTAACATGTGAGCAAGTTGCTACTTTTCACTGTAGCATTTTATGATTGAATCTCTAAAAGTTTAACGAATAAAATAACATGTATGACGCAGTGAGAATTTTTTGCGTAACAAAATGAACTTTAAGTTTGGGTTTAAGCCAGCTTTTAGCATCAAACAGATTAGTAATGAATTTGGCTTAAGTTGCATGAACTATGCAATATAAGTGGTTCTGGTTGCCAAAAAAAACCTCATAATGGAGCCAGTTTTGCACAATCATCCGGAATTGGATGTTTATTATTTTTGAGTACCCCAATTTGTGAAACAGTTTATCAGTTTCTTCTATTGTACAAGCTAATAACACAGATCTGCTGGGTAGGCCATTCTCTTTTCTAGGATTTGTTGACCTCAACTTATCAGCAGTATTCTTGCTTGGAAGGTTAAAAAAATTTACTATAAAATTCCTTGTCTATAACTACCCCTTGACAGTTGGATTGGTTCAATTAGCCCTTTTTATTTGAAACACTTGCTCCACTTATCCATAAAATATTTATCATTTGCTTGAAGTGCATGGTGTGATGTGGGATATCTTCTGTTTGCAAAATGATCAAATTACATTGATATCTCACTTTCAAGCCAATCTATCAGTCAGAGCAAATTGAATTCCTTATGCATTTTCACTATTTCGGCTAGCATTCCTTAACTAACCCACATTGATATCATCACATTCACACTACCATATTCTCTCCAGTTGTTGCCCCATCTTGAACTCAAGTACCAAATCCATGTCAGAAACTTAAACAATGAAATATCTTGTTTTGCAGAGGGTTTACATTTTCTTTTCCTACTATGAGTTCTGATCCTATGTGATGAAGTCTCACCTTGACCGATAAAAGATTGGTTTAATTGATAGGATCATTTTCTTAGATAAAAATAATTTTAAGTTTGAATCCAATCAATAATCTTTTATCAAAATTATTTCGAATATACTATTTACAATCATTATTTTTTAAATTATTGATTTGATTTATTTTATCTTAATCTAAAAAAATTAAATAATTTATTTATTTTTAAATTTTTTCGTATCTCAAAAAAATCAAACATACCATGTGTTTTCGACCTCGAATTATTTAAAGGTTCAGAAAAATTATTCAATCATAACCTACCGTTACAAAAAGAAAAAAGAGAGTATGCATTGCTCTTGTAAACAAATCAATTATGACCCATTTTTCTGGTATGCTAAAGTAAGATAATACTTTTTTTTTTTTTTAAATTAGAGTAAGATAATAGTTATTGATACATTCAAGGTAGAACTTTTTAAAAATATATATTTCAAATGCAATGGCTGCCAATGAATAAGACTTGGCATCTCCCTATCTCAAAAAATTTATCCATTTGAAAATGGAGAGTTAGATATCATTAAACCAGGTTAGGCATCAAGTCCAATACCCGCCCTCCCCCAATCTTTACAGCTAGCTTTAATACATTTTCTAATATAAGAGAAAATGATCAATTAGAATAATTATTACTTAATAATTTATTAAATTAATATTGCAAGTTTTGAAAAATGATATTAATGAGCCAAATCCAAGTGATGAACGTCATCTCATCTTAAAAGCATTCAAGTGTCTTAAAACTAAAACAATTGAGATCATGATTTTCTTTTAAAATATTTGGATGCTCAACTTTAAATCTATTCTAATTTGTTCTGAAAATTTTGATTTAGGCTTCTTTTAAATAAACGATGAGATTAATTTTGATAAAATTAAAAATAATAATAATAATAATTACTGTAATTATAATAAAAAAATTATTACAATTGAAATTAAAAAAAATTTTATTAAAAAACTTATACCAAATAAATTTTATTGAAATTAATATTTGAATTTAACTATTAATATAATAAATTTAATCGTACCATATCAAAAATATGATAAAATCTAAAACTAACCTTAATAATTTTGATAATTTTTTTTTATCTTAAGTTAAGAGAGAACAATTAAATATACATATTAAAAAAATTATTCCAATGTCCAATTGGTCATAACATAATTATTCCAATGTCCAATTGGTCATAACATTACATTCTTCATTTGCAAAACACGAAATTGAGTATTTTAAGTATATTTTTTTATAAAAATATGTGCTTTCATTAACGTAAACGATTCCACGCGTAAAACTTTTCCTTTTTGGTTCACTGTTGCTGGAAGAAATTTCAATTTGTAGCTAAAAACTCATTTAAAAGGTAGACTCTGACCCTAGAAGTCTCATTAACAACCAAAACGTTCCTATCAATATCCTTTGTGATGATACAAATTGTATTTTAATCATTAAAACTAAAGCAAATCACATGAAAAAAAAAAAGTTGTTAGTATTTAAATTTAAATTGATTAAATATTATATCTTAAAATTAATTACATAAATTAATTTAATTAAATTTTAAATTTCGTCAAAATTTTAAGATATGGCATGGGAATCACTGCATAGGAACCCTTCAACAGCTCCAGCCCCTCCACTAAAATAAAAAAAAAAAAAAAGTTGAAGAAAAATAATTGTTGTTGGCATAAAATAATGACTTTTTAACAAAAAATTCCCAACACATAAAAGACAGTCCTGCATAATACCCAAATTACCCTCAAAGAAGCTCACAAATTACCAACCGTTGGTCAGTTCGTTAAACTTTTCCCTCCTATTACAAGCGTTAGTTGCGGCCGAAATATCGAGCACTAAAAACCAACGGTCAGGATTTTATCATAAAAAGATAAGATACATTAACTTAAATGAATCAGCTATAATTTAAAAAAAAAAATGAAATTCTAGAAAATATGGGGAAAGAAAAGAAAAGTGTGTATAAAGATAGGAGAGATTCCAAATCATTCACGTCAAGCTGGTTTTTAGCTTTGCTTTGATGTTTCTAAGAATAACCAACTTCCAATGTTATGCCATTTCTTTAAAACCACTCTCTCCGTCTAAAATTCTTTTGGTTACAAACCAATCTTCTCCGAGGTTGGGATTGGAATCCTTCCCCCTCTCATAACATGAGCACGTAACTTTAATTGAATTTTTGTTGGGGATTTTCATGCTTGTTTGATTATCCAAGAACTTTTCAAGTTCAATTTTGAAGAGGAATTTGAATTGAAATACAAAGTGTTCTTCTTTTTCTTGGAGTACTTGAAAAGCCTTGGATAATGGCAGCGGAAGGTATATACCAGGCTTTTTTTTATTTTTTCTCATTTTGGTGTTTTAAGTTTTTTTTTCTTGTTATTATTGTTGTTTTTGAAAAGTTTTCGTGGTTTAGTGAAGTGGGTTTGTTTTGCTTTTGGTTTTTGGAAATAAAGATACGGTTTTTGCATTCTGGTTCCTTCTGTATTTGAAGGGAGCAAGTTTTTTTTTTCTTTTTTGTTGGTTAAATTGTTACTAAAAGTTTTGTTTTGTTTATGCAGATACAGGAAGAGAGACAATAGAAGAGAACCCAGAAAGGGAATCAAAATCCAGGGAGATGAGAAGTGAATCACTGAATGATCAGCCATCCCCAAGAGGTGTATTGGAGATTCCTGTCCTCGGATCAGAGTCTGATACCAGCAGCTGCAGCAGCAATTCTAGCTCCTACTCTCCAAAGAAGCCCGTTTTTCAGAAATGCAACCGAGATTCTTATGGCTTGCAATTCAGGAATATAATTGGTTCAATCAAGACGAAAACATCGAGAAGGTTCTCTGTCATTCCTTTGCTGACAAGTTACGAGACTTCCCGGAGGAACTTGAGGAGGAAACTGGCAAAACTTCAAGGCTCTGAGGAAGAAGAAGAGGTTGATATTGACTGCATACCCGTGGCTAAACCATCATGGAAGAATTTTTCTTATTCAGAGCTTTCTGCTGCTACTGATAATTTCAGTCCTGGTAAGCAATTAATTACATTTTTAGCTTTTTCCTTTCCTTTTGTTTCAATTTCACTCTTCGTGTTTTCAAGTTGTTTGTTGCAATTTAGAGATAACTTTTACAGGGATGTATCTATTCAGAGTTGAAATTTTTGGGTTCCTAGTTTTGGTAGGAGGAAGATGTATTCATTCTGTAATTCCTTTGTATAACAAAAGGGCCCGTCTTTTTAACATGTTTGTCTGTTCCTTCTGCTTTTTCAAGTTTCTTGGGGAAGGTAGGGACCCAATAATTAAGGTTAAGAGACATCAGATTTGATGAAATAAGCTTGGAACTATTGAATTTCCCAGCTGAAGGACCTTTGACAATTTTTTTCGTAGAAAAGAGATTGTAACCTAGCAATAAGAGAATGGGTTGCAGGTGTTTAGATTTGCAAAATGCTACCTTTTAAAAGTCGTTAAATCTCTTGAATGCCACCTCTTAAAGGTAGTCATATGAAGTTATGAACCAACTGAGCTACCCTCTTAGTTTTGTCACTTCAGTGAACATTGTTCTGGCAAGTTGTGGTTAGTCTTATTTCTTATGATGATTTGGTTTTTTTAATCATGATTAGATAGATGAACTAAGCTTTTTAAAGTTGGATAAATTTGGACTGTGTACTTGATTATAAGTTATCAACCACATCCTAGAAAGAAAAAAAATATGTCGGCAGCCAGACGGTCAAACTTGCCTGCAATTTTGAAAGCAACTTAAGGGTTTAAAGAGAAGTTATTTTTTACTAAAATGAAATTTAGATGGGAATTGAATGAAAATGATGGGGGAATAACTGGCCAGGTTGACGCATGCGGTTAGAAGTGTAACATCCATGCACATTTGATGACTTAATGGTTCCCTTGATAGCGGGGACATGAAGTTTACTATTTTCTGAATTTTTTTTTTTTTTGGCCAAAGACAATTTTCTAATTTGGCTTTCCTTTTTATTACAAAGGTTGCAGTTCGGAGATAGGAGGAGTTTTAAATACTAGATTTGAATCTAGACCTGTTGAATACTATTTCTTAAGGGTAGCTGCATGAATTAATTAAACTAAGCTCTAGTTTGGGTTTTTCGTGTTTCTAATATGCCTCAAAATTTTGTAGAGAATTTGCTCGGAAAAGGGGGCCATGCGGAAGTATACAAGGGGCACTTATCTGATGGTCAAATTGTAGCAGTGAAGAAGCTAATGAAGAATGAGAATGAAGAAGAGGACAGTGCCAATGATTTCTTGTCAGAACTTGGGATTATTGCTCACATTAATCACCCAAATGCAGCTCATTTAATCGGATTCAGCATTGATGGAGGCATGCACTTAGTCCTCAAGTTTTCCCTTCATGGCAGTCTTTCTTCTTTGCTTTTTGGTACGATGCCTGTTTCTCTATTGCTATTCACCACAAACAATTCTAACAGGATCAGGGGAAAAAAAGCAAAGAATTGAATCTAAGTGGCTGCAAATTGTTCTGGTTTAGTCTGGTATATATACTTTCAGGTCAACAATTACATATTAATTGGGCTAGTGAGATGTTCTGTACCGCAGGTTCACCTGAGTGTCTAGATTGGAAGACAAGGTTTAAGGTGGCTATTGGGATAGCAGACGGATTGAAATATCTCCATCACGACTGCCAGAGGCGCATTATACACAGAGACATCAAAGCCTCTAACATATTGCTCACCCAAGATTATGAAGCTCAGGTACTTTAACTATTTGGTTTTGGTTGAATAACACCAATCTTCTTATCTCTTCTACTCATTTGCAGATTTCAGATTTTGGTCTGGCAAAGTGGCTTCCAGAAAATTGGCCTCACCATGTCGTCCATCCTATTGAAGGAACATTCGGGTTAGGCATGCAGCTCTTTGCCTTCTTCGGTTGATTTTCTATTAGCTTTAGTAATTTGATGAAGACAATAAAATTGGGGTTAATATGTATGAAAACTGCCTCCAGGTATTTAGCTCCAGAGTATTTTATGCATGGGATTGTTGATGAAAAGACTGATGTATTCGCATTTGGAGTTCTATTACTGGAGATATTAACAGGTCGCCGTGCAGTCGATTCATCCAGACAAAGCCTTGTGATATGGGTACATCATCAGCACCAAAGTCATCAAAGTAGCAAAAGCATTTCAACATTTTATATAATCCAGAAAGATATGAACTTGTTTTCTGTCTGAATACAGGCAAAGCCACTCCTGGAATCAAATCAAGTAAAGGAATTGGTTGATCCTCGACTAGAAGACAACTATGATCAAACTGAAATGAAACGTGCTATGTTAACAGCTTCCATGTGCATTAGCCACGTAGCCACCATGCGCCCGAGCATGACAAGGGTATGATACAATTTCGAAAACATATCCTTTTTCCCTTGTCAAATCCTTTCAATTCCCTAAAATTCATGCCAGAAACCTTGAATTCTTTACGGTTTTCAGGTTGTACAGTTGCTCAAGAATGAAGACGGTCCCGTAGAATGTCAGCAGAAGTCTCGTGGAGGGAAAGCAGTAATCGTAGACGGTTGTGATTTAAATCGTCACATGCAGATGGTTATGGAGTAAATAATGCTTGGTGCCGCTGCTGCAGCCACTGTTTTTCTTTTGTTGTTTGTGTGTAAATTGGAACAATACAGCATGGCCCTGCAGGGTTTGTTGTTGATAAAATCCATGACATGATTCTTCAGGTTTTAAGCTTCCTATGATTTCCTTTTCCGAAGGTTGGGTTGCCAATGCCATACACCCGCGAAGAAGATTGGGAACTGGCATCAATATTCACTGCCATTGAGAAAATGGTATAATCTGAAGAAACTAGAGGAAAACAGAAATCAGATGTCATCTGGTCAAATATTATACTGACGTTTTACATAGGCAAGAAAATCCTTTGTTAAGAAAAAAAAAAAGATTTCTACTTTTCATAGAATTTATATGTAAATGTAACACAGCATCACCATGTAAGATTGCTGCAGCCAACCTTCATTTGTCAATATTTCATAATTTTTTCTAAACATAGAAAGTTTGATTTTGTTTTAGTATGAGAGAAAAATCAAAAGGAATTATGCACTAATCAAGTCTAAAGATGTAATTAACTTCCTAAATATATATATTGCTACTAAATACTGCCAGACGAATTGATTTTTAAAGCAATGTCTCATATAATTTCTTTTAATTTTTTTTACCAAGAGTACAAACAGTCAAATTGAATGCGAAGATCTATAATCAACTTATAAAATATTACTTATTTTTATTCAAAGATTTTATAATTTTATTTAACAAAAAATTTATCACAAGTATGAGTTAAAGTTTTTATATATATTATAACAGATTTTTAAATATTAAAGGGTAAAAAATGTTGCTAAATTATAATTATAAAATATTTAAATCCTTAATAACTTATTGCAATCAATTAAATCTTTAATTTTTTATTTCAACTTAGTTAAATTTTTAATTAGATAAAATTTAGTCACGTGATAAAATTAAATCGATCAATCCTCAAACTATAATCAATTTAACCCTTGAAGAGATTTTTAAGAGAGAGAAAAAAATAAAAAAAAATAAATTTATTTTATTTAATTTTACATATATTACTTACATCACGTGATAAATTTTAATTTATTTTATTTTATTTATTTTAATATATTACTTACGTCACATGATAAATTTATTTTATTTAATTTTTACATATATTATTTATGTCACGTAAAAATTTTTAATTTATTTTATTGATATTACATAAAATTTTATCTTAATTGACAAAAAATTAACGATATTTATCAGAAAAATTAATTAATTATAATAATAAATAAATTTTTAAAGAATTTTATAATTATTATTTAAGGGCTTTTTATATTCTTTAATCATTTTTAAAATATCCAATGTGAATCGTGGCGGTAGTGTAACATTGAAAGAGGCAGAAAAGTTAGAAACCATTCAACTTCGGCTGCTTTTACATTTTTTTGGCCCCATTCTTTTCAGACTTTCATTTCTTTTGGTCCCCCATTTTTTTGTCCCTATTAATAAAACGTTTATTAATTAATATTTTAAAAGAATTATTAATTAATTAATTATCCCAATTCTTTTTAGCTTACCTGCCAGCCCTAGGTTTAAGTAATAAGTTTCATTTTTACAGCTACATTCAATATGGACCTTTCAGGCCCAAATTAATGAACAGTGAAAAGTAAAAGGACCTAAATTCTCATCAAAGCTAGAGTTAGGAAAGAGGGAAATGGTAACGGAGATTTTTCTCCAGCGCGTGCGGGCGATGGTGAGGAGGACTGAGTTGAAGTTGGCTGTTGGTTACTTCGTTAATAGGTGAAGGTGAGTTGATTCGGCGGTTAGGGTGTGAGATCAAGAGGATGGGGTCCAAACGAGGGCGTTTTGTTCGTTGGGTGGGTGTCATAAGTTTAATGGGGTTAGGCATGACTCCTCATATTTTCTTTTATCTTGAAGTGTTTGATGTGACATTTTAGTTATCTTTGTTCGGTTCGGCTGTTTCCTGACCACAAACTAAGGGGAAAGAAAAAGCCAATCCCATCCAATTTTTTTTGCTCTTTGACTGTAAATATAAGAGAACAGGAAAAGCCTATGCGAGAATTTGTGGAAGATAGAAACAGCTGATAATGGCAGCCGTGCAACTCCGTGAACACACTCAAAAAATTTCGCAACAGAACGGGAATGGTTTGCCCATTTCAGCGTGTCTCATCTTTAACATTTGAAGATATAAGATACTTTAAAAACTAGAAACCTTTAGCCTTCAAAACAAAAACCTCTTGCCAAGATAAGAACAAGGTAGATCAGGTACTTGTGATGGTCAGATTATGCGGGTCAGCTGGGGTACATGGCGTCGGTTGCTACTTACTGTTACCTGAATTGCAACTATTCTTTGTTGTTAAAATTGCTCGGTCATTTTAGTAAGACTGGTGAGGCCATAAGAAAAACTCAGCTGCTGGCTGCGGCATTACCATCATCGGGGTTGCCATTGTTGAGGAAGAACCGGGGAGATCAGAGATGCCGATGTTGGCAGTCTGAAGGTGGTGGTAGAGATCCTGCTGATAAAATGCTGCCGCTGCCGCAGTATCAAAAGGGATTCCGCAAGGAATAGCCGATATTGGCTCCAAGGGAGCAAAACTTATACTGTTGCTGTTGGAGCTGCACAGGGATTGTTGCTCATGGTTTACTATTGGTTTTAGCTCTGATTCAAGTGAAAGCTTTAGGCGCTTAGCTGCTCCACCAATGGGAAGAGAACTCTTGGCAATGGTAGCAACATCATATCGGTTCATCTCAAAGTTGGTCACCGCATTCACACCCCTAAACTTGATGGCCGCGATATCATAGGCCTCTGCTGCCTCCTCTTCAGTAGCTGTCACCACATAGAAGATGATCATCATCGGTTCCAAGCAATAATCTTACACCTTGTATAATATAACAATTTTATAGTAGCATAAGAAAGCAGTAAGTCGGAGAGTTTTTTCATGGCTCATTATTGCAGCCCTACCAAAAGTGCCTAAGTACAGATCCTTGTTTCCAGCAACACGGCCTATCCTTGCTTGCCATCGGCCTTGTTGATGATGCCTGCAAAATTAAGATGATAAACTCATGTTTCAGTCGTTAGCCAGAGAATTAAGTCGCATAATTGAACACACCATAAAGATATAAATAAGACAATGAATAATTCAAATTCTATACAAAATGTTCTAACCTTGTGACACCTCTGTAAATTGATGCACCCCTTGAAAATCCACTACTCTTCCTATTAAAATAACAATCAGTGCAAACAAAAGATTAACCTACTGCAATTAACTAAAAAAAAAAAACAGCAAACCAATTAAGGATACAAAGCTTACCTTCTCAAGGAAGCAAGAAACTCTTGCTTGGTCACATGCTTCATCTCTTCCAACTCTTTCGAATAATTTGAAATCTAAACCGTGCAAAACAACGATTTGGGTTAGTAAGTTCATGCTCCAGGGCACGTAAAATGTCATGCAGAAAAAAGAGAACAATTAAGAGTTCATTTGGGAGCCCGACTGGAGGGCTCTCACCGTACGGATGTGTGCTATTTATATCGGACCCCCAACAGTTAATTGATTAGTTTTAAGAAACAACCGTGCATATATATTACCGAGAAGTTGGTGGTAGCTGTAGGACCCCAGTATTTTAGAGCTGCCAAATCGTAAGCCCTAGCGGCCTTTTCTTCTTTATCATAGCCACCTGACAAATTCCAAGGATAATTTTCGGTCTACAAATCTACAAATTCCAAAGACAATTAAACTTAACAACTACAAACTATAGGAGTTTCTTACCTAAGTATACTGTAGAACCAAGATTCGAGCATTGAATGACAGCCAGACATCCACGATCCCATATTTGCATGCAAAAAGTAAAGCATACATTGTCAATATCAGGTAGTATACAGGTCAAAATTTTATGCTTGGAATCATTTCTAAAAGCAATGCAACGCCAAAATTTAACAGGATTGATCCATGTGCTTTAGTTGCCATGTGATTTGGTTAAAAGAACATATTTTTGTCTTGAACCTTTCTTAGAATTGATAATCAATAAAAATGAGATGAAAAATTAGACATTTTACGGTGGCTAAATTATGAGCTTGGGTGTGAACCAGAACGGAGCGTAGCCCACTCTACCAGACTTCACGAGAAACACTGTCAACAAGTTTGGGCAATAATAATGACGGAGTCTCGGGTGTACTTTTATCTGTAAATCTTTTTTTAAAACTAAAAAAAAATTTCAAATGGGCGCTTTGGTCAAACCTAGATCCTCTCTCTCAGACTCTGCCGTGGACTGTATCAGGCTTGATGGAAAAAGCACAAGGAAAAGCAAAAGCAAAAGCCAACTCAGTGAAAATCAGACTCTTTCAGAGTTCAGACTTTCATTCATGTGAAAATAAGGCCTGATCCAGAGCCAGTGGTGGGTGTGGGTCTAGTCAAACAAACCCCCATAGCAGAGTAAAACAGGGCCAGCGGTGAGAGAGAGATTAGAGAATAAAGAAGACAGATGAACAAAACGGCGGCATGTCTGATCAAATCAATCAGGGTTTTAGAAAAAAAAAAAAAAGGTTTGCAGCAAATAAAAGTACCATTCGTACATATATGTATAACATCAATCTTTCAATCATCATAAAGACAGATGACAAATGCCCAGTGATCCCCTATTAATGCCCCTTTGAATGCATGCAAGCTTCTTTTCAGTGCTCCCAGTGTATCTATCTATCTATCTATCTGCCTTCCTCTACCGATCTACAATTCACATTTTTTTCATTTCTGAATATGATTTTGTCTTTAGTATTAGAATCATGTGAGAAAGAGAAAGAGAAAAAAAAAAGTAGAGGACCTTGACGCCCTTTTCTGGCTTGACCCTCTCTCCTACAGCTGTTATCCCATAGATGAGCTTCATATCTACCCGTCCACCTGTGTCTGCAGTTAACAAGCCAAGTAGCCAACAAAAAACCATAGTCAGAACCAATACAAATTACTTGAATTAACTAAATAAAACTCACAAAAAAAATCAAAAAAACTTGAAAAATGGAAGAAAAAGAAAGGAAAAGAAGATGGATTGATGGGATGTTTAACCTGGTGACACCTCTGTAAATTGAAGTTCGCTGACCCAAAGTCTCATCATTCTTCTTTGAGCAATTTGTGTCAACCGAAACAATGGCCTTATTATTAGTACTATTATTGTTGTCTTCGCAACTTTGATTAACCCCAAGTGACAAGTTACCGGCAGTTGGACAATCGGAGAAACCCAACTCGGTACCAGAGGACTCAATCGACTGACCAGGAAACTCGACAGCGGTCAACCGAGTTCGACCCATTGAGGCCGAATCATCAACTTCTGATCCCGAGTTTGTCGAAAACGCTGGAAACCCAGTAATTGCCTTGAGATCTTGGTGCTCATTGAAGTAAGCAGAGCCGCTGTGATCATAGATTTGGGTTAAAGACGAGTCTTGGGTTTCAGCTTGGCTATCTGAATACCGAACAATCGATGAGGAATCGCCAAGGAAGTCTTCAAGCTTTGGTGCTTGTTGGTGGAAGCTTGTGAGAATGGGATGTTCATCATCCATGGCTGGGGATCTAGCTTCTTTGCTTTGGTTATCCTCTCCTTCTGTTAAAAACATTTGATGTTTTGAATTTGTCCAGCCTTCACAAAACATGAAAACAACATGCATATAAACGAGTGAATTCAGTATTTCTTACTTCCTTCCAATCCGTTAACTTTTCCTTAGCTGCCAAACATAAACAAGAATGAAATTTTGTGGGGATTTTTTTTTTATATATAACAGTGAGCTTTTTAAGTGAGTTTATTTAAGTATAGCCAGCAGGAAAATGAACTCAACTTAAAACTACACGATAATTTACTAATTTATTTCATTTAACCACCAAAAAAGTAAGATGGGACTAAAAAATATCGTTGGGTTTCCTCGTATTTTCTAGGCAACCAAACGGAAGTTATGAAAAGAATAATAAAGAGAGAGAAAAAAGAGAAAGAAGAAAGAGGTTTACCATTAGCATAGAAGTTATCGATCAGGTAATGAGAAGAAGCAGCAGCAGAAGATCCTTCATGTGCCATAAACTGAGGCTCAGATGATGACCTCAACATCTCCATTGGAGATAGTGAAAATGAAAGCCAGTTACTCGCTGGTGCCATTAAATATTCTTATATATATACTATACAAGTCTATAACCTTCAGAAAAAACTTTTTCCTTTCTCTAAAATGACACCAAAATCCAAAACTATTTCTTGAGGAAACAAACAAAAATTAGCTCAAAAACCTTTTGAACTCAAATCATACCCCAAAAAAACACTGATGATACCTTAACCGTTACTTAAAACTGCCCCATTAAGAAAAACAGCTACGATAATCACGAAGCTTAGAAATAAGCAAAAAAAAAAAAGAAAATCTTTTTGTAAGCTTTAAAAGGGATTAAATGCATGCAAACTAATCTGGGACTTTTTTGAAGAAGCTAATAACCTTTCTTGTTTGACAACAGAAAAATTAATTTTTTTTATTGTTTGGTAAGAGAGAAAGCAAAGGAAAAAAAGAGATAGTTGGTGTTGGGATTTTAAAGGGAGAGAAAGAGAACAGAGAAAGAGAAAGAAAAACCAATTGAGCCGTTTCAGCTGCCAACCGGCGTAAAACCAGAGAGGCCAACTTTCAAAGACAGATTTTTTTTTTTTTAATCTCTTTTTGTGTTTGTCTGAGAGTTAAAAAAAAAAAAAAAGTTGAAAGTCGAAACGGGAGAGAATTTGTTAGGGTTCTTTTTCTGGTTTTTTTAATATATTTTTTGGTTGTATTGTTCTGAGTATTATCTTTCTTTAATTTACAACATAATGAGCAGTGTTAATGTTTTCTTCTCGATTTTACACACTTGTCCTGCATGCAGCTTTGCAACCTTTTACTACCACATTGGCTGTTTCGGCAGGGGTCTTTTTCTCTTATTTTTATTAAGGGGCGTTGGGTTTAAGAGAATTTATATTTTTTTAATTTTATTATTAGATATTTGATTTTAATATTTAATTTAAGGTAATTTGATTTTGAAAAAAAAATTAATAATATTTAAAGTTTGAGAATAAATAATTCATTTTTTTATAATATTTTAAGATTTTAAAAAAAATTATGTTTTTTTAAATTTGACTTAAATAAAAAATTATGAAATAGTTATTATTATTTTTAAAAGTATGTTTGAAAGTGATTGTAAATTAATTATAAATTTTTGTTGCTAAATTTTTTTTATCTTGTGATTAATGACGTTTTGTATGAAATATGCCTTAAAAAATTTTGTTTATTTTTTTAGATTATTTAAGATGTTTTCAACAAAAATAAGTAATTTTTAGAAATATCTTATATAATCCTCAAAGATAAAGAGAAAGGTCAAACTTAAGATCTTATGATTAATAATCATATATTTTAATTAATTGAGTTATTCTAATTTTTTTTTATATTTTATCTCCCAAATTTGATAAGTAATAAAAGGGATTTATTTAAGATATTTTTAATCAAAAATATCTTAAATTATACAGTCCAAAAAAATTTATAAGGTTCAAAAAATTGAAGGGTATTATTTAAGATATTTTTGATAAAAAATACCTTAAATAATTCATTTAAAAAAATTAAAGTGCTAGAAGACAAAATCAAACCTACGATCTTATGGTTAATAACCACATACTATAATCGACTAAGTTACTCAATTTTTTTGTATTTTATCTCTTAAATTTTATATGTAATAAAATAGATTATTTAAGGTATTTTTAGTAAAAAAATAACTTAAAAATACAGTCCAAAAAATTAAATGTATTATTTAAGGTATTTTTTACCAAAAATACCTTAAATAATGCACTTTAAAATTTTTTAAAAGATTATTTAATGTATTTTTTGATAAAAAATGCTTTAAATAATCCCCTTATACATTTTAAAATAGACTATTTAAGGTATTTGTTGACAAAAAATACATCAATTAATGCCATTATATTTTTAAAGGGTATTATTTATGGTATTTTTAAATAAAAAATACCTAAAATAATCTCTTAATATATTTTAAAAATAATTATTTAAGGTAATTTTGAATAAAAAATATCTTAAATAATCTCTTTTAAAAAATATTGCTATTAAAAGCATAATCTATCGTTTGAATATTTATTATTAATAAAAGCTATTAAAAAGTTGCTATCATATATATCAATAAAATTATGATAATTATTAAAGAATTAATATATGTGAATTTTTTCTAACCAAACGAATAAATTTGAACATGATATGCTTTGAAAATAGAAAAAATTTTCAAATATTACACCTTTTTAGAGATCATACTTTCTTAAATATAAATTTCTTAAATCAAACACCCCCTTAATGTTTTGTATCCCGATTCATATCCATGTTCCCGGTCTTAGGTATATCCTAATAACTAGGTTTAATTATTCACTTGGAATGTCTCAATGGTTAAGTTTTTCTACTAAGATTTTCTAAGAGTCAAGCCGGGTCAGCTTCGATTGATTTTTTTTTTAATTTTCTCTAAATTTGGATCTCATAATTGAAGAAAAATAAAATTAAATAATCACATCATCCCTTTAAAAAAATGGAACTCAAATTCTCCTCTCTCAATTAAGTGACTAAATAAAAAGAATATAACTTATGATTATAAAATATGTAAAGATTTATTTAAATTGACGGTAAAATTAATTTTAGTAAAATTAAAATTAGTGATAGAAATTAGATTAATTATTCTAATAATAAAATTAAAATTAATGACAAAATATGTGTTTGGATATAAAAATAACAATAATAAGAAAAAAAATTTATTATTAAGAATATTATATTAAAATTTATATTATTAATAGTTATAAAATTAATAAATAATGAAGAATTTATTAAATCATTTTTATAGTAAATAATAATTATGTTAATAAATAATTAAATAATAATAATATATTAAATAGTATTTTTACTATGTTAAATTAAAAAATTATTTAAAAAATTTTAAATAAAAAAATCAAAAGAAGAAAAAATAACAAAATTAAAGTGTAAGGATATGTTTATATTTGTAATAAAAGCTAAAGAAAAAAATTTAATGAACTACTCGGTGAACCACTGCACTAAAAATAATTAGTGGCCAACTGAGATTATTTTTTCTGCTCTGTGAGATCCAAATGCATATTTTTCTATAACAACCGAAGTTGCAATTAAATCCAAAATCATCCTAAAAGAACACAATCTATAAAATTTATACATTGATGAAAAATGCCTTTTGTGTTACATTCAGTATATAAAATTTTCAAACTATTTCAAATATCCCCCTTTTTTTATAACATGAATTCCTTTTTTTTTTTTTCTACCCAAGTTTAGTGGCTTAATTACCTCACAGCCATTGTATTAATTATTAGTGTATGGAATTTGATTAACAAAAGTTTGAAATGGTGGATTCTTTTTGGATCGACTAATATACTATTGTTTAAGAATTATAGTGTTAAAAAAAAAAAAAGTGATGTTTAATAAAGAAGTAGTTTCTATCTGATTTTGATTTGGCTGGAAATGAAGCTGCATTTGTTATTAAATAGAAAATATATTATAATATTCGAAAGTTCGAGTTTCAGTATTTATAATTTTTTTTTAATTTTTAAACTATCATCTTTTTTGTATTAAAAAAAATTCCACTAAAAAAGTGAATATTTGAATGTGTACAGTCTGAAATGTGAACAACTGATGAATTACTAATCAAAGTCTTTTGCCCCTTTTTGGCTGAGAGAAAAGAAAACAGTCTTTGTTCCCAAAAGAGAGAACCCATCAAGCCAAAATCCATCAACATTCTTCAATGTGAAAATTCCACTTTGTTTAGAACATATATGCATGTACAAGTTTAGTTTTTTTGACCAACTTTTTAAAAATGTTCTAATCTATCCCTATTCAAACTTGTAACGTTCAAACGTCAATAAAAATTTAATGCGAATGTATCTAAATATCAATCAAAGATATATAATTTAGTTAAATAGAAATGCATTTTTTACTTTGATGATGATAAATGAACATTGCATTAGTGGTTTAATTACCTAAATAATTAGTGATTAATGGAGCACTTAATCAATATATTTATGAATGAAAATGGTACTTTATTTCAAAAATAGTAAAAAAATAAACAAGGAAAACGTCTTGACTCTTTCCATTTCTGTTTACGTTGTGGAATAGAAGAATAATAATACTATTAGAAAAGAAAGGCAGCAAATTTGGCAGAATTGAATCCACCCATGCCGCAGAGAAATTGTGTATATGAATTTATTTTCAAAGACTTTCTATTGGAAAAGCCCAAAACTATGACCTTTGCCAAACTTTTTACGTCCCAATTGGCAACAACAAAAAAAAAAAGAATTTTAATGAAATGAAATACCCAAAAAGAATAAGAAAAAGGGGGAGATTAAAAAAAAAAAAGACTCTCCGAAGAGAAAGAGAAACGGAAACAGAATAAATGTAGAAAGAAAAGCCAAAAAAAAGAAAAGGTAAACGTGCGAGGGAATAGAGCCAGAAAACACTAGAGTTACCTGAGATTCGGTCAAACGATAGTAAGATAGGTAAAGAAAAAAGAAGCAAATGTTTGTGGCTTTGCATGCAAAGTGCAACGAAAGCCGAAAAAGAAAACAATAGAGGAAAAAAAATAAAGGTGGTTTCGAGGAAACCAATGAAGTGCGAGACCAGAAAGCGAGAAAACCGGTAAACACTGAGCCCTGATCTGCTCAAGCTTTCTCTCTTTTGTTTTTCCTTAGTGAAATGGAAGCAACCCAGCAATTAAGGCAAGTGATTTTTTGGCAGAAATTCTTGTCATTTGCAACCTCTTGAGTTGAATCATAAAATGACCAATACTCTTTCATTAATTTATATATTATATTCTTATTTGGCTTTGATATGATGTTTGCTTCAAATGTTGGGAGTTTAAGTCTGAAATGATCTGAATTCTGATGAATTGATCATATTGGACTGATTCAACACAATCAAACGAAAATGCTGAGAGCAGAGTGGAAGGGGAAAGATTTTATGTATTTTATAGTTGTAAGACACACGTAGAGCACAACCATTTGTTGAAAGCATCGGTGGCTAACAGGCCGCAGCAGCAGCTGCTACGCTACGCAAGCCAGCCGAAGTAGGTTTCATTTCAAAGCTTTTTTTGGCTCTTGTTTGTTATTGGGGGCATGGGACCTTGCTGATTTTGCAATGGACGTGGCCTCTCGTTTCGCTTCTCTGAGAGGGACACTTGGTTTTTACTTATAATACTTTCTCTCTTTAATAATTTCTTTTTTTTTTTTACTTAAAAAAATCACAAGATAAAATCTCTTTCTCTTTTTAACCATGTTTCATTTTTTTTTTAAACTTACATAAAAATATTAGATTAAGAAATTAAACTAGTCATAGAAAATAGAAAATCTTTTCGTATAGGTTAAATTGAAGATATTTAAGTTATATAAATATAATAAGGGTATTTTATATATTATCAATTAATTTTAAATTTAAAATTTACATAAAATTTAATATGACATCAAAACAAATTGTGTCTTGATTTCTTTCTATTTTTCTTGATAAATTTGTCATCTAGATGTGTAAGTTTATATGATAATTAAAAATTTATTATCTATTATCCATACATTTGTTATTTGTTGTCAATAGGGAGACAACAAAAAGAATAAGTGTGATTGAGTCACATCACCTTCTTTTATTAATATTATAATTTATTATTAAAGAGCATGAAACCAAAAATGAAAAAAAAAAAAAAAACAATTAGTTTTATCATTAGATTGATCTAATCATCCAACATCCAATATTTTTATGGCCATCAGGATTTTGGAATCAAAATCTTATCTTTGGGAGGTTTGCAGCAAGTTGTATCTTTTGCTGACTCGTGTTCATCCACCCTTTAACGGCATGTGATATCACACAAGGTAATGCCTATCCATACAAATGGAATATACAAATATTATTTTTTAATTCATTTTAACTATTTTTTCTTCCCATATAAATACACCCCTCCTAAGATTCTTGTCTAAAAAATCATTAAGAAAAAAAATTAAAAAAGAAAACGTGACCTGTATTATATCTTCCAAATCAACCATTAACAATTAGACACATGGCAAACACGTGGCACTCAATGATATCATTATTTTTGGCAATAACATGCTTCGATGGTCTTCATCTTGGTATGACTTGATATTATCTTTATCATCTTTTCTAGACATGCATGTGCTTATATATATATATTTGCAATAATAGTAGTAATCATAAATCATTTATATGATTATTTTGAACCTTAATACAAAAAAATTCAAATAATTATACTTATAAGTAATGGGGGATGGAATAATTATGATAAATTACAGGTTTAATTTTGAGTGAACAAAAGACTAATCAAATCTAATATAATAAATCTGTGAAAAGGAAAAATAAAATTCTATTTTATTCATACTAAGCTCCTAAAAAAGTTAAATATTTTAAAAATAATTCATTTAGAAATTAACATTAAGATAAGATATATGTTGAAAAACATATTAGATATAGTAGACAAATTTCTTTTTATATATAGGATCCTAAACTACAAAATATAAAATAACTTTCTATAATCCTTTTAATCTCACTCTTTTTATTAGAAATTTGAATTCAAAATCTCCTAAATTTAATTACTTAATTGCCCTTAAATAAATTAATATATTTAAAATTACATTCATAAACAAATAATATAAATTTAATGTAGTTATGACTATTGAGTATCATAACCATCTAATTTAAATTAAATTAATTATGCATAATACATATGATTTTTATTTTGTAATGGTATGAGCTGTTAAATCTAAAATGTTCTTACAGTTTCATACATGTATACAGTAATACATAAAAATAATTAAAATAAAGTTCAAAATTTGACTTAATTAATTTTTATAATATTTTAAAGGTATAACATTTAAAAAAATTAAAGTTTAAATTTTAATATTTATATATATTTTTATTTCCTATCGCAACCACTTTTGATAAAGTCCTTGAATAGATCCTAATCATCGTTCTTATCTTGGCTTCTTCTCTTGGGTGTTTTTTTTTTAATTTTTTTTATAATCATGACATTTGATAATAACTAAATCTTTTTCATGAGGGTGTAATTACTGCTTTTGATCTTTGACTGAAAAGCACGTGCGCAGCATCTTTTTATTTCAAATATTTCGTCGATGATTTCGGTGACGCACGTGCATTCTGTGCCCCCGACAATCTACCATAATCATGTCTTCAATGTTTAACCTTTTTTTTTTTTCTTAGATCTTACTACAATAAAACTAAAAGAATTTGAATGGTGAGAAAGACAATTTAGCTGTAACTAAGCTGTAACAATGTTTTTTTTTTTTTAACTTGGATTCACATTCATTTTTTTTTTCACTTTCCTTGCTAAGTATCAAAGCAACTTGGAACCGTTTCACACTGCACATACTTTGATCTCAAGTTTTCATTGAATTTTAAAGTGGAAAGTTTTTTTTTGTTTTCTGTTGCTATTGACCCTGATTGTGATTGTTGCATTGTAACATGAATATGTAATCTGTATATCAAACAAATTTGGATCTTAAGTTTGATTTTAATGTCGATTATGTTGGAGTGAGTGGGGTTAGACTTAACTTTGTTGAATAATAATAATAATAATAACATTTGTCAAAATTTATGTAAATTCATTGATAAAATATTATATTTTAATTTTAATAATTTAAATTTAAATTCAATCAATCTCGATTAAAACCAATTCTTTAATTTGAGACTTGATAGCCCAGATATTCATTTAAATATTTTGTAGATGAATTGAATGTATTAGGTTAAAACCTAGACTTTAGCAAGAAATGTGTCCAATTATTTGTTTTCTAGAAAGAATGGCAAGAGATTAAACCACAAGCAATTTCCTGGAATCATCTTCTTCAAACCTAAACTTGCAATGGAGCTTTCGAAAATATTTTTGGGCCAAAATTCTAACAGTACTCGTTCAAACAAGTTCTATGGGCTTGCTTAAGAGCCCCCCAAAGGCATATGAGCTACACCCATTCATGTTCTTCGTCGTTAGGTGTACATGTTAAGCTATTTCATATACAGAAAATAGGTTTAAACATATAATGAACTTATTTCAGTTTGTTCATCCAGTTAATGCAGTTATATTCATATATGGAAAATAGGGTTAAACATATACCGGACGGCCCTTGTTCTGGTTTTGGATGAGGAGGCAGGGAAATTGGCCCTTGAAGGGATATCCATGAAAATGAAATGCTCATCTATTTGCTGATTGCAACTGTGATGGAACAGGTAGATGAGCTTAAAGAGAAAGATGAAGATATGGTGGCTAGACGAGGATTTGAAGGGGTGAATAATGAAAATCTAAAAATAGAAGACTCAAGTAACCGGTGTTTTCCTTAGCCCCATATTCCATGCTGGTCTCAATTTCACATCTGACATCTCTCAACATTCTACTCTTACCATGATGTTTGGTGATATTTGAGCTGTATGTTGGGTGCAGGAAGTGATGAAAAATCCAAATGTAAAGGCTGATGGTTTTTCATATGCATTGGAAGCCATGGAGGAATGGCTGAAGATGGAGCTTTATCCATCTCCCATGGCAAATTTGAGTCTTTCTGACCTCAAATCACACCCTTCGTTCCCTCATCAAAGAATGGCAGAATAAGGGATCAAATTTGCCTTGTTTAAGTAAAAGTCGCTTATCATCAAATACACTACCTTCCAAACTTTAAATGGAAAATATACATTAAAAGAATATTAACTGTTTTCAACTTGAATAATCAGTTACAAAGATGCAATTACTAATTATATTATTATAAGAATTTCGTATTGCAAAAGAACTAATATGTATTTGTAACTCTATCACCGATCTGAACCATCTCCAAGCTTTGCAATGCCCAATATTAAGAAAGTAGCCTTTCAATAAACTTGAGGCTGAAGTCCAAGCCATCCCCTGCTATGCACGCAGACATCTTGAACAACAACGTGAGGCAAATTTTCCAGGAACAGAGTAATCTGCCTGCAAAGATGGATCAATTGCCAAATCTTCAGAACGTGACCAGATGTACACCCCTCGTTCTTGACGGCTGCCTGGAACAGTGTTGTCAAGTACAAATGCTACCAAAAGTGTAACCACCATGCTCATAGACATGAGTGCATTTATAGCAAAATTAAGCTGACACACATTTATAGAACAATATGTTAGTAAACTCTTTCATACAATTACGGAAAGGGAAAACAACAAAAAGAAAATCACAAAATCAAAGAAATACAGGGTAAGTTTGTATACATCTACAAAGCACCAGCTTAGCCACTAGAGTGGTGGCATTCCACATCATGATTCAAAAACACATGCACATCTTGAACTTACTTGTTCGCTACCAGTGTGGACTGGTCCATCTGATGCAGCTGCATATGGAACAAAATAACTTGGCAGTATCAAACTTGACTCAGGTTGGTACTGTTGGAAATAAGCAGGAATGGATAAACCAATAAACAAGGACACCCCAACTATGGTTATGTTCCTAAAACTTGCGGTTTCAGTGTTTTGCAAGGCTGAGAGGCCTACAGCCACAACAAGGGCCCACATGAAGCACAAAATAGAAGCAGCCAAGGACAGTGGTATTGAAGCAAGAATTGCACCCACTTTTCCTGTCACAGACAAGCAAGAAATCAACATAATAGCTTCCCCATCATATGCACAATAAACAAGATAAATTATCTAGCAAAGCATATTGAATGCATATGCAACCCATGGATACTGCATCCAAGACTTCATAAAGATATCAACCTGTAAGATCGGATAGGAGGAAATTCAATTGATTTAATCTAACCAATGCTTCTTTCTTTTCTTTTTTTTTTTTTTGAGAGGGGAGGGGGGTGAGGAATGCATCATCCAATTAGATATAGAGCTAGTAGAACAGATTTAATACACCAAAATCTTATTCATGTTCCTTGAATAGAATCCCATCATCTATTGGTTGTGCATCAAGAAGCTTTTTCCAATCAAGCTTGAATTGTGACTTTACCTACAAAAGAGAAGAGGATCAAGAAAAGTGCTCCAAATACCACAGCTCTACGGCTAGCCATCTTTGTTATGTTTATTGTATGTGTATTTTCTGTCAGCGTTGTTGAGCCAGTCCCAGAACCCCAAAGTCCAGCCAGCATGCTACAGAAACCTTCCAATGCAATGCCTCTGCTGACTACTCGTGGAGTTGGAGGCTTTGAACTGACTAGCAAAGATGCAGAGTGATACGTTCCAACCTGCTTAGACATTGTATCACAAGCAGCAGTATCAGGATCATTTTCTTGTTCCATGCCTTTTATTTACATACATCAAAACACCTAAAAAAATCAGTTGGCTGCTCTCTTTTCTCGATCTCATTTCTTTTTCAACACCTAGCTATTAGCATTTCATAAACAGAAGTATACCAGAAAAATGTGGGCAGTAGAACTCTTCAAAAAAGAAGAAAAAAAAAGAAAGATATCTCCATCAAACAGTTCATGTGATACTGATATTTTGGCACATCTGTATCATAAACTACTAACCGAATCCACTAACGCAACTAGTGACACAATGATCATGATCAGAGACGTCCTGAAATGGAAGATAGGGACGCCCCACTGTAAAGGATAGGGAATTCTGACCCATGCAGCAGCTCTCCATGCTTTTGAAACATCAGTTCTGCAATGCTTCATGGTATATGCATGTTTTCTACACTCATCAACTAAAATGTTTGAGCTGGGAATGTCAGGGCTGCAGCCTTTGTAATCATAAGCTCCTCCAGCTGTTAGAAAGAATGCATATGTCCATGTAATTATAACACTCAGGGGAACCTGCAGTGATCAAACAATGACATGATGATCAATCAACAATATCCTTACCAAAAACAAAGAATGTCCCAATTATACTAACAGACCAAAAGTTAGAATTCAAAAGAAATGAGTGTGCTGAGTTTTTGGAGCACTTATTATTTTAATTCTACTTCTAATGGTGTAGTGTAAGAGGGGCGTTTCTTCAGGAAGTATTGTCTAAAAACAAAAGGTGAGAGCACATACTGCGTATATTCGGAATAATTGATGCCCAAAAATGGATATTCCTCGAAGATACTAGAAGAAAGGCATACAAAAATGTATTAGTCTTTGGAAGACATCCTTAAAAAAATAATAAAAAATCATATCAAATTTATAGATATACTCCATAACTACCTAGTATTCAACTTGCTTTGCTCAGCAAATCACTCACCAGGGTACATAAAAGAACCAACATTAGCAGGGGAACACTGACTTCCACACAACTACCAGCTTGTGGAAAACCATAACCAAAGAATGCTAAACCCACAGCTGCAACAGTTGGTCCAACCACAACTGGGTTAATCAATCTGCAAAAACATAACAAAGAAATAGTTAACTCCATAGGTTATTCCAACTTATATCATTATACCAAAAAGTGTGCAGACACTTTACATGGTAGTTTCTGATAATAAACTATTTACTACCGCTATAAAAGAACTGAAGTTCTGCCTCCCTTGCAAATCATAATGATCATTCATTTTTAAGAACCAAGATCTCTACCTGGTCATTTAAGATTGTAGAAATATCAGGAGAGAAGAAGCTTATTAACCATTAAATTCCTTTTGTTTTAGCACAGCATTGCGCAGTGAGAATGAATGATAACAATTCCAGATAAATAGTATGAAGAGCAGGATTTAGAAGTAGTCTAAATAATATCTGTTTTTGCTGAAGAAATAATATCTATGAACAAGCAATCTGATAGAATTTACCTCAGTAAAAGAGACATCAAACCACTGAATCCCAAGATACTTTGGAATACTGAACCAACAATAATAGCTCCTTGCAGCTCTCTCATTATATGCCTGAATTTCTATAGTAAAATAAACATGCATGGTGGAAACTAGAGTAAGATTGTGTTGCAAGAAACACACAGTTTAACATTTGTAAGCCATGAACTAAGAATGCACTAAATTTTTCCGATAAAAAGAGGCAAAACTTGGATGAAAATAAAGAGTTTCTCATTCATCAATTTGGCCAGAATTCAGAGCATCAAAGCCATTTATGACGAAGTTAAAACAACTTAAAGAACTGACAACAGAAGGGTATAACACTCATTATCTTTTACTTACATGATCTGTAAGATTTCGATAATCCCGAGCATTGATGATAACTAGTGCTGGTGCCAGATAGATGAACGAGCTTCCTTGAACTAATGGTAGCCGGGTACCAAAGTAGGAGTGCAGTATGGTAGTAATGCCAGAAACTAGCAACATTGTGGAAATCACAGTGGCAGTATCTTTCTGAATCACATACAGAAATATCAATGCATTTCATATTCAAATTGTGTTAGATGTCAAGCAATTAACACTACTATAGGAAAAGAAGCATACATCTGTCCCGCCCATGGCTGGTACCATTACCAATGGGATGAATATAAGGGAACCTGCCAATGATAAAAAGTGCTGCAGGCCATAATAAATAAGCGCTCCTGCAGTTAAAGATAATCAGATGAGAATCAGGAGTAGGTATGGATTTCTTCCAAGTTATCCAACACATATAAAAGGATTCAGTGGCAACCAAAAGATTGAAGAACCCTGCAATTATCTAAAGTGGGTCATGATTTTGGTTTTTCATTATTTTGTAGATTCTGAAAAATCCATGATTTTATTTCATTCCATTTGGTTAAATCCTCAAATATCTCCATGATATAATAAGAACCGTGTTGGAACTTAGAATTGGAGTTCATATAAATGTTTGACAATATTCAAAGCTGAATATGCATTGATGAGTTCAAAGGTACTTTCACAGATAACAAGGGTAAAGTAAACAAAAGTATAGCATAATTATCCAAGTCAGAACATGAAGCCAAGAGAAATCCAAAATGTCCATCTGTATGGAGAAGTTTCCTACGAAAGTAGAAAAATTTATCCAATTTTTTTCTATGAATTTCTCACTTGTGCAGGCCTACTTGTAAGTTGTAACTCCAGTTTCACATTTTCACTACCCTTTTCTATGCTCTCGAATAGTACACCTAGCAAAGACATTATTAATATATCAACTCCAGCTTCTGGCTACTGAAAAACTCAAATACTGTGATCTCATTTAGTAACATCTTCATAGCTCAACAATGTAACATAAATAACCGCCTCTTTCAACACTAACTGGCATTTGTCAATACAAGCATTCCTAAGAACACAGTAATCATTAACATTGAACATAAAAAAAATGAATAAAAGAAGAAAAAAAAAGGCGGAAAACTAACCAAAACCCGGATTATCTCTTAACCCAACCTTTATCCCTGGATGACGACCACTCCACCCTCTATGACTCTGCTCTTCACCTCCTGGATACATCCCAGCTTCCACATCCCTTTCAGCCTTTCCCTCTTCATTCTTCTGAGGAACAAGTTCTGGTGTAACACCTGGCACTCCATTCGCATTCCCATTCCCGTTCCTATTTTCCACCACATTTACATTCCCATTCACATTCCCATTTAACCCAGTTTTCCTTTCATCAACTTTCTCCCCTAAACCATTCCCATTCTCATCCGCAACTGTTGTCCTTCCATGTCCAGAACCCAACGCTGGCCCAGAACCCGAATCCCTTTCAATTTCAATCCCTCTATTGGGTTTAGTCCGGCCCAAAACCGGGTCAATCTCGATTTTTGGAGATGACCCACCTGACCTTTGATCATGGCCACCTCTTTCCAGACGAGACCCAGTGGAACTGTCAAAATTTTCAGTGGAACTAGCAGTTCCGGTTTCTCCAGACAAGTGAGAGACAAAACCCGTTCTTTTAGCCCAAGATCTCAACTCTTTTGGGCTATGATCACTTTTAGGCACAAACGGTTCGATCTTTGGTAACATTGAACCAAGCTTGTTGCCTCTTCCTCTTAAAGTCTCAGCCCTTTCTAGTGAATCTGAACTCGACCCCGTTTCCATTTCAGCTTTTTCTCAAATGGGTACCAATTCTTTCCTCAAAAAGACCTCAGAGAACTACTAAGAAAAAATCAACAACCAAAAACCAACAAAAAAAAAAAGGAAATGTAGAAACTAAGTAAAGGTAGATTGGAGAAGGAAAAGGCGAGAAATTCAGAAGAAATTATTTGGTTTGTTTTTGCTTTAATATTTAAGTAATGAGAAGTGGGAAATGTCAGTGCGAGAAAGAGCAATTTAGGAGTGAGCTATGATAATTATCTTTCTCTTTCCCACTTTTATTTTTCTTTTCTCTTTTTTCTTCTTTCATCTCCCTTTCATTGCCGCTCCCCAGTCGCTATCATCAGTTGTAATTTGAAGTATTTGTTGAAATCGAAAGTTGCCACTTCAACGGCAAAACCAACTGCCACTTAAATGCACTCCTATCTTGTCCTTCTATTTTCTCCCCCTTTTTCAAAGAAATATTGGGATATTTTCGGCCCTTAAATCCAAAGAGCAGATACGTAATAATTTTTTATTCTAACAAGTGATTTATTGAAAATATATATATATATATATATCTATATTTATCAAATGAATTATTGTGTAGACATAATTAATTAGAACTGTTTATTCGGTCGAATTAAATTTAAATTAAATTAATTAAATTATTTTTTTATTTTTATTAATTAAATTAAAATTTAAATTTTAAATCAATCAAAATTAATTTGATCAATTTATTTAATTTTTTATTAATTAAATATTAAATTAAATTATATTTTAAATTAATTTATTATCCGTACAACCCACATATTATCTTACTTTATTAATTTACTTTTAATTATTTTTCAGTCAATTATTTTTTAAGAGATTTAGTTTATAATGTAACAAGTTAAAAACTACTTATCATTTAATCTAGTTATTTCTTATTTATTTAATAAGATAAATATAAATAATTTATGTGTGTAAAAAAATTATTTTCATGATGACATGTAAGATAACTTTTAATTTTATATTATTTATCAAATAAATATATTTAAAAAATTATTAGTTATTCAAATTTTTAAAATTTAAAAGAAAGACAAAATCATATATATCTAATTACTTATGCTTGAAATTAATTTATAGTTAAAATACAATGAAAAAAACTTATAAATCATGGTTAATTATAATGTTATTTCAAAAATCACAAATTATATTTTTAATTTCAATTTTTTTCTTACCAAGTAATCTCATATACTTTAAGTGTGATAATATTATTTATCATATGAAAAATATATAATTTTATATCAATTAAATCTTAAAAAGTTAGTTAAATAATTTCAATTCAATTAAATTAATTAAAATAAATGAAGAAAATATGTATTTTTAAATTCATATTCATGTTTGATTAATGAATGCTTTTCAAAATTCAAGCAAAGGAAATAAAATAAAATAAAAAAACTCAAATGCACTGTAACTGAATATAGTTTTTTAACTTCATTAGGAAATAAACATGTTTGTTAGTTGGATTATGAGTCGAATTTATGATTTTATGCATAATTTTTTAAGTATGGATTTAACATATTATTATATTAAAATTTTATTTAATTTTAAATTTAAAATATATTTAATAATATAAAATTTTAACATTTTAATAATAAATATAAATTGAATAGGTGATTTAAGTTGACATAATCTAAAATTTAAAAATGTTTACAACTGGATGCCACCAAATTCATGGACACTTCTTGATTTTTTAAATTCATATTTTTTAAAAATTATGTTTAAAAAACTATCAAGTACTTACTAAATGAGATTTGATTTGAAAAATAAAAAATAATGAAAGCAAATTATATTTTAATTTATCCTAACTTTTTTATAGATAAAAAAAAGTGTTATGACTTTTAAAATGAAGAAATATAACATATTACAAATTATTGTATAAAATCATAACTGATGGGTTGATTATATTATAATATAAAATATGATTTCAAAATTCAATTAGTTTTTATTATTTGTAATAATATTTCGATATAAATAATATGTTCAAATCAATATAATCAAACAGATTATTAATGAAAGTGTTTTTGTATATTGTAAAAAAGCTAAATTAAGAGAAAAAAATATTACGTGTTGAGTAAAAAGTCAAATATAAAAAGAAAAGGCTTAGAGACAGTACCTATAAGATAGAAAAATAAATATTTTTTGTAACTTTACACCTTATAATATATAAAAAATTAAAGTTAATTGAAATAAAAAAAAATATTACATAATTGAGTGAAGAATCAAAAGTAAAAAAAAAAAAAAAAAGTCTGGATAGTATTTACATATAACTTAACATCTTGTTATATATATTAAAAAAAAAAGGCAAAGTTAAAAATTGTGGGCTTACCATAACTATCTAAAAATGAAAAAATAAATGCTTCTATAACTTACACTTTTTAATATAAAAAGAAAATAAGGTAACACAAAAATAGAGAACAATGACAAAAAAAAATCAAATTGGTGTTAAAGAATGATATTAAACAATTATTTATAAATTATTAAGAGATTAAATTTGATCATTTTAAATAATAAAAGATTATCATGAAATCTATTAAGATAAAATTATATTTGATATTTTTAAAATTTAAAATATATAAAAAAATTAATTTAAAAAAATAAAAATATATATTATTGTCATAATTGACAATGATAGGTGAAGCTTTTTATATTCCACTTGCAAATTTGACAATTATTAATACTATAAATTTAATTATAAAGGCAACAAAAATATAAGCATTCTAAAATGTAGCACTAATTACAAATTAGGTGCTTTTCCACTTGCTATTTGGTCATTTAGGATTAATCTCATATCTAGACCCTTATGTATAACTAATTGTCAGAAAATTATTAAAAAATTAAATTTTAAAAATAAAAAGATATATTTAAAGGTGTATTTGACAAATAAAGATGATTTTTTTTAGTAAAATGAAAAACTTTGGATAATTAAAATTTTTTAAATAAATATGACTTAAAAAGATTTGGATAAGCAATAATTTTTTAAATACATTCATTTAATCCATAAATAAAAAATAAGAATTAATTTTACTTATTTAAATAAAATCTTACCAAAATAAAAAAATAATTTTATCTCATTAATTATTTTAAATTTAAATTGGTTTTTTATTTAAAATTTAAAAGTTTTGGATAATTAAATAAATTTTGAAATATATCTTTTGATAAAAGAATCTAAAATTAAAAAATATCTTATATATCATTATAAAAAAATTTTTTAATAATTTTTGTGTCAAAAAAAAAATTATTCTCGTAGATATCCATATCAGCAAACTTTATCTTGTAACTATATATGTTGTATTATAATATATATATATATATATATTAGATTTTTATTTTTTCTTATGTAAAATAAATTAAATAAAATTATCAAACAAAAATATTCAAATACCAAAATATTAAAATAAAAACTCTAATAACTTAAAATGAAATAGACAATTTCATATATCTTTAGTTTTATTTATAAGTTTTATAATATTGTGATAAAAATTTCAATTAATTTGGTTAATTCAGTTTTCAAACTGAATTAACAAAAACTAAAGTTTTCTTAAATCATTTTTGATAACTTATCAAAATTAATTTAATAATCAATCGATTAACCGAATTATAAACACATTTATAATCAATCAAGTGACCTTAAAATATACTATTTAAAGTTTAATGCATTGATTAATGAATCATAAAAAGATGATATTTAATTTATTTAAAATTTAAATTTCAATATTTATAAATTAATTTTCTCTTAAGTTATAATCTCTTTCATATTAAAAAAAAATTAAAATGTACAGTTTTTTTTTTTTTTGAAAAGTATAATGTACAATATTAGGAACATTGGATTACTCACATTAAATATATGCTTATAAAAATATAAAATTATATTAACTCGTATCGATCATCAATCTAAACTCTGAAGTGGAGATTCTTACATTTTAGGCTTTTCCAAAAGTAAGCTTTTTATTTAGCAAATGGGGGTTGATGATAATATGGTGGAAAAACAAGATTATGGGTCCCAAGTTATATTGATTATATATAGGACTCTTCTCAAAGTCAGGATCATTTTTTTTTAGCTTATATTGATAGAGAATTATTTTTAGATTTTTGAGAATGAGATAAAGATTAATGGTGAAAATCAGAAGCTTTTGCATGCTTCTGTGCCGCCAGTTAAAGATCAAGGACACACGATTTTGAAAGAGATAATTTTGATCATCAAGGCCATTCCGCCGTCAAATCACTATACATAGACAATTTTGAAAAAGAAAAATTTTTGTTTCGTTGGCCTAATGACTTTCATTACCGATTGACGAGAAATCAAAGGACGATCTGAAACTCGAACCAGAAAATATAGGATGAATTCCCGATCAGTCATCATATTTAGATAGCTCCACTTTAATCTTGGAAAACCATGATGAAAACTACAGGAAGCATCCTTCAAAAAAAGGAAAGTTCAAGACATCACCAGTGGCCTATTGTTTCCTGCTACGGTATTGAGTCACTATATTTTACCAGTAAATGCTCAACAATTAACATAGCAAGCAGATCGATCGATTGAGCTGGTAAAAATTGAACACTTTCACTTGTAAAGCGTAAAATCGATTTTCATTATCAGCAAACCTTCTTAGTAGGCCATCTATAAATCCAATGCAAATCTTGGTTGAAGCCTACAAGCTGCAACATCTTTTGTCCTGGTTCTGAAATGGGATAAGCCTCCTCTTACCTAAACTTTTCTTTTTTTTAAAAAGCATGATTTTCAAGAACTAGAACATATCGGAACCCTTCTTTTTTCCATTATCCTAATATACATACAATTCAGTCCTGTTCATTGCAATCGATGCATACTAGAGGAAGTTCTTCCAAGTTCAACACAATTCCTCAAATAATTTAATCATACTGCTTATGAGGATATGATTACCTCTCAGAGAATACCTAGGTTTCTCTTCTTTTCTTAGCATATGATTCGAACTGAAATTTCAACACCACATGTGACTAGCCATTTCTAAAAGTTGAGTACCATCTGAAGTGGGAATTTCATGGACTTCAAAAATGCCCTAAATTACTAGAAAGTCCTAGAAATCTATGTTCAAATTAAGTCTATGTCCATCATCTTCTATGTTCTCTTCACAACATTTCCATATTCAATCAGGATGCTCCTTCCTTGACATTTATAGCCATCAAAAGTCACCATAAAGAATAGCAATAGGTAAAGCTAAGATACCTCCATTCATCATATATCAAATATGAGAAGAATTACTTCCACAGGTTATATGATTGAGTTAGAAATTACTTGTTTACCTCACATCTATATAAACCATAATCCTACCTAGCATTCAAAGCTTCCAACAAGCAAATTTTCCATCCTCTCTCCCTTCTTTCTTTGTGCCTCTGAGAAGCATACCATCTCATGGCAATTGTTTCATTCACATTTGATCAACTAATGCTCAGTTGTTCATATTTCAGACAAAAAAAAACCCTTAATTTAACCACAAAAAAGCATAACTAGCAACTAATTTAACACAAAAATCAGTAAATTAACCCATTTTACCTAAATTCCAACTAATTTTAAACTTCACAAATCCTAACAACAAGAAACAGAAAACTTTTTCATTCTCAAATCATTTAGAATGTAATTCCTCCATTCTATCAAACATGCAAACAGAAAAAAACAACAACAACAAATTCTAGAAGGAAGTATTAAAAAAAGGTATTTGTTAAAATCACCGAGGGAAATACTCTTTTTATTTAGCAGGAAGCGAAGAGAAGAGGTCCGCCACGTATTCTTGTTGCTCGCGAAACCGTTGTTTGAGGTAAGACTCAAGGATCTCCATGACGGAAACGAAACGCTTCATTTCTTCGAGTCGGCGAGTGAGTTCGGCCTCTCGAGCCCTGGCTCGCTCCAGTCGAGCCTCCGTCTCGGCTAGCCGGACTCGGAGAGTGTCCACCACCAATACGTTGTTGTCGCGGGATGGGCGGTTTGGTGAGAGAGATCGTCGTTGGTGACCGTATCACATTTTTTTCAGAGAAAAACAAGAAGGAAAAAAAGTTTCGTTTTTTTTTTTTTTTTTGTAGAATTGGAAACGTTTCGAAGGATAAAAGAGCGAAGAAAGAGATTGTTTTTTGTTGCAGAGCCACTTGGGAGAGAAGAGGCTTCCACTTTCCAGAGAATTAGGATCAACAATCGGCATTGCTGTCTTCTGGTTGATCTGGACCGTTGGTTTACTGGATTTGGTACATCATTTTGATGAGTCGGGCCAACGACAAAATTTAATTAAGATGAAATTTATGAAAATTATTTTTCAAAAATAATTTAATAAAATTTTTAATAAAAAATCAAATTTATATATGAATAAATTTTAATATATAATATATAAAAATAGTTAAAATATTATTTATAATTTAAATTTGATTGATATTTAATGATAAAAAATTTATCAATATTTTTTATAAAAATATCTACCTAAAATATATTTTAAGATATTTTAAAATTTATATATTTAATTCATTTATCGAGAAATTTTGCTTTATCAATTATAATTTTTTATTTTAATTATTTCTAATATAAAATTTTATAAATTATATTTAAAAATTTCGTATAAATTTTTCTTTGGACCAACTAGCCCAATCTCACTATACTATTTAGTTCTCTCAACCCAACTACCCAACCCATGATCTGATCTGGGCTTGGTGTAATGAAGCATCAAAAGGGCTTGAAAAAAATCATATTGTTACAAATTTTTCTTTCTTTCATCTTTCTCAATGTTATTACCATTGGATTCTATTTTAAATATTGTACTATTTTTTTCTTTGTTGTTTTTTTTATTACGAGAATAATGTGTGTAATTAATATACTTAACTCTATACTCTTTGCATGTATGACACGTGTAAATAAAATATAACAATTACGACAAACAAAATTAAAGTAAAAACTTGTCGTTTGTCACTTAAAAAGAATACAAAATTTAATTTCAGTTACATAATATTTATCATTTGTCACTTTTAAGTAAAAGCAAAAATAAATTTGTTATTGTTTTGTTTATTATTTTTAATTATAAAATAATGTTAAAAATTTTATAAAATGATTACTCTATTTTAATACCATATCATTTAAATCAAATCAATTATTTAATTAACGTGAAGTAATTTCATTTAATTTTTTTTTTGTCTGTTAAAGAGAGGTACTTTTATAGTATTGATGAGTAGTGTTTGGTTTTTAAGTGGCTTTATTATTTTTCTTTGTCATTTACTTTTTCCTATTTTCTTTTCATACACTACCTCGTTACACCCTAAATCCTTCAATTTTGTCACATTATTTTGTTGTCAAAAGAAGCAACCATTATTTATTAGGATAGACAGCCAATATTTTGTTGTCACACTAACTTTCCCACATGTCCTTTATTAGGATTCGTTTGTGTTACTTTGTTCTTTCTTTGTTACTATTTTTTTCCTTTTTTTTTTTTATTGGTATAGACAACAAATTTTTTTTTACTTAGTTATATTTGTGATTTTGCAAAGTAGGTGTGAGACCAACATAAAAGCCTAAATTATTCATCTTCTAAGGATTAAACAAATGATGATGCTCTCCTTTGGAGTAGGAATTTGTTGATTCTAAGATTTAAATTTAAATTTTATTAAATATTATTTTTTAAAAATAATTATATAAATTAATTAAATTAAGTTTCGAATTTATTTTTATATATCTTTTTATTAGTTATTATGATTCATTCTAATGTTTGATTTGATGCTTAAAATTAAAAAGTAAATTTATTAATATTTATCAAATAGCTTATAGTAGTTAAAATTCCAACTTGGAAAGTGGTTAAAGGATGGTCCTTTTATATTCTATAAAAGGATAAATTTTATTTAATTTCTTAATAAAAATAAATTTATTTATTATTAAATCAATTTGTGTACATTAAGATATACTTTATCTCAAAAGAACATTTAATGATTAAAGCTTAGAATTTTATTTTAAAAGTATCATATTCGAATCTTGAAATTAATAGTAAAATTTATAATATAAAGTAAAAGAAGATTACTTTTTTTTTATTTTGTAACTCAATATAAAAAGAAAACTAAATGATAAAAATACTCTTAAATTATAATTTAATAATTATTTAAACTTTTAACCTTTTATTATAATTAATCAAAATTTATATATTTTATTTTAATTCAATTGAACCTTTAAATAAACAAAATATAATTATGTGATAAAATTTAATTAATTAATCTCTGAAATATAATCAATTAAACTCTTAAAGGAATATAAGAGAAAGCAAAAATAAAAAATATTTTATTTAATTTTTACATATATTAATTGTGTCTAATAACAAATTTTATATGATATTATATAAAATTTATTTTAGTTGACAAAAAATTTAATGATATTAATATTTTTATTCAAATAAAATTTAATTAAATACAAATAAATATAAAAAAATTAATCAATTATAATAAAAAATAAAATTTTAATTATAATTCAAGATTTTTTATCCCATTTACCTAAAAAAAAACTTTCACAATTTACAAGCCAGTCAATTATAGATTCCAAGTTTTTTTTTTTATATATAAATAACAAAAAACCTGAAAAATGGGGTTTAGCTCTGCGCAGTATATATACATCTCACTCGAACGCTACCGCAACACGCTAGGAACATTCAGTGGTCATCGAAGTACAAGCAAATAACTCAGCCGCTAAGCAACCGCATACACCGCCGTCCATGGCGACGCAGCCACCATACGTAGACCCAAACAACCCCAATCCCTTCTCTCAAGCCTCCTCTCGCCTCCCAGAGGACACCGTGTTCTACTCCATCTACCCAGACACTTCCCTTTCCCAAGACTCCCTTCAGTCCCTCCACCTCCAAATTCTCAACTCCATTTCCCCTTTCACTTCCTCTTTCATATGGCAACACCAACCTTTCACTCTCACCATTTCCTTCCAGCCTTTCCCTCACCTCCACGGCCATCTCCGTTTCGGCGACAACCTAAACGACGAATGGTTCACTGTTTTCCTCCTCTTCCAAATCTCCCTTTCTTTCCCTTCCCTCTCCATCCACGTCCATGACTCCGATGGCGAGTTCCTCTTGATAGAATCGGCTTACCATCTCCCCCGTTGGCTTAACCCCGAAAACTCTCAAAACCGCGCTTTTATCCGACGCGGCAAATTCCATATCATCCCCAAACGCTCCCTCCCTAATCCAACCCTAACCGAGTCCCTGAACTTTCTAATAGAAAATGAACAAATTACTCTCGCGCCGGATTCCCTACAATCCGTCATTCAAAGCCGAATCGCGGGTTATCCGGAGAAAGCGAAACTGAACACGCATACAGTCAGGGTTCGGGTTCCAATGTCGGTTGCGCGTGTATTGAAACACGCGCCTTCTTTGATTTCTTTAGCGGTGGAAGGGTTTTATGACCGCGATATTGATTCCATGAAACACGCGGCGAAGATGGAACGGTTTTTAAAGGGAGGGAAAGACGAAGATGAGATGGTCACCATGGCAGTTAAGATGTCGAGGGCAATGTACGCGCAGTTAATGCAGCAGAAGTTTCAGGCGCCGAAGTGTTATCCGATGCCGAATAAGGCTGACATGGAGGCGGAGCTGGGGATGAAAATTGCTTGTGGGTTTGAGATGATGTATCAGGAAAAGAGGAAGGAAGGGGAAGAAGGGAAAGGGAGTGGTTGGAAAAAGTATAAGGAGAGTTTGGAGAAGACTGGGTATTTCAAAGGGTTGATTCCTGGGTCTAAAGAGTATAAGAGGTTGGTGGAGAATGCTGAGGAGTATTATAAGAATAGTTCTTTGTTTTCCAAGACCAGGTATTTCTTTCGTTTCTTACCTGAATGTTTATTAGCTCTTTGATTTATGTTTTGTTTGATTTGGTTAGGTTCAGTTTGGCTGCTATCAAACCAAAAGTAAAAGTTACTGTTGATATAAATGCAAACGCAAGTAATAACATTTTTGAAAAAAAAAAGCTCAAGATTGTAAATTTTTAATAGAAAATGCATCCTATTAAATTGCTTTTATATGAAAGAATTATGTTAGAATTTATGTTTCATTTTAGTCAATTGTTCATTTTGTTCAATTGGTGTAATTTTTTTTTTTTTTACATTTAAATTTTGCTTTAGTAACTTTTTATGAAGTAAATGCAAAAGCAATAACCAAATTGAGAGTTAATGATAATAGCAACCATGGACACCTTTATTAAGTTGAGATGGTTTTTTAAAAAGCATTTGTATGGTTTTCATGGCTTAAGAGAAGCTTTGTTAAACAAATTGGATAGCATTCTCTTGTTTCCTGTGGAGACATTGGAGTTGAATATGGAGAAAAAAAACCACATCTAGTTGAATATGTTAATATTACTTGAGACATTTAACAATGTATGGACATTGTCTGATAAGTACATTTTTTGCGTTTGTTGGGAGGTCAGAATTAGAATTATTCTCAAAAGCCTCATTTTCTTTATTGCTGTTATGTTGCAGTGAAATGATGAATGCTCCTGTGAGACAAATAGATGAGATTCTTTCTTTACCCTATTCAGCTGATGATTTCAAGAATCACGACATTCCACCTTCGGATGATGATTCCTGGCTTTACAGTGGAGAGGATGAGTTGAACACTGCTCTCGAGGATAGACAAAAGGAGATGGAACTTTATGAGCTCAAACGTAAACAGAAAAAGAAGTCAAAAGAGCAGCCGGATGCTGGTCCATCATCCAACTCAAAGGATGAAGATTTTGATCTTAGCGATCTTGTGAAAACCATGCAGGGCTTTATCCATAAGATGTCAAGCTATGAGGGAGCTGAGGTTCCTGAAGACAGGTCAGAGGACTTTTTAATCAAAGCCCATCACGCGTGACATTAGTGACCAATTTGATCTTTCATAGTCAGATGTGTCAATAATCCACTTATAATGGATTTTCAATTTTGAGTTATGTGCCCAACTGTTAAGTTAAATAGTTCATTTTTCCTTCTCATTTTTTCACCTCCTTTTGCAGAGATCCTAAAGAAGTGGAACTTGATGTGGAGCGCTTTATTAAGGACGTGGAGTCAGTAATAAAATACCGAGGTGGTGAAGATGTGGCTGTTGATTTGGATGATGAGGAAAGCTCTTCAGACATGGATTTTGGTAAGTTCTTTTCATCACTGTCAATTTACACTGTTAGGATTGCCTAGTTACAATCAATTTGTAGCAGACAGCAGTGGACTTTCAGAAAAATATATTCAACCTTTTTTTCACTCATGAAATAGATACAACGGTAACCATATATCTCAGGACAGAAAACTATTATCTCTAGTGCACATAGGATACATTATGTGATTGTTATCTTCATGACCTTTTTGATACAGTTTAATTGCCCATAATAAATTGCTTTAATGATAGTCATCAATATTTTCACTGATACACACACACACACACACACACATATATATGTTTATATTTATATTTATATTTTTTGACCTTAAACTTGTATGAATAATTCCAAATTCAGGTATGGTTCTTTGTTTCCTTTGTCTCCTTCCACCCCTTACTTTTCTCAATATTTCTGAATCTTTAAGCTTTAAATGTCTGATAAACACTGGTTTACGTGTTAGAAGAAGATATTGGGAAATGAGTGAAATTTGGTTCCTTGATACATGCCTGATCTTCTCTATTTGAATTGTCATACTAAAGTTAAGAGGCAATTTTGGTGACTTGGGCTATGCAAGGTGGCATATCTTTTGTTCTTTCTGACTGTTTAAAGCAAATTGTTCATAAATTTCAATGCCCTGAAACTCAATGCATTTGTCCTCTTCTCCTAAAAGTTGCACTTGTCAAAAATGAAGCTGCCCCCTTTTCATTGTTGGTGAGGGGTTTTGGGCATTTATCAGGAGGCTGTCCTTTCTTAGTAAACAGTATTACACTCTACAGGTACATTAGCGTATGATGATATGTCCCTATATGGGGCTGATTCAAATTTATTATTGAAATTTGCAGATGATTCTGAGGATGGAAGTGACATATCCGATCATAATGAGGATGGAGAGGATTCCTTCATGCATTCCTATTCTGATGCTATGAATGGCGAACTGAAGAGTACTACCCTCAAGAAAAGCTTCATTCATGGAAATGAACTGTCCATTAAAAATGAGGTATCTTTTCATCTTTTGCATCAGGATACCATGAATGCCAATATTTTACCGGTCATAATCCATTTCATGAGTTATACTCTTGGAGAGGATCTGTAAATGGAACTTATTGTTGACAGAATTTTCCTTCTAATTGTTTGAGTTCTCGTATTGAAATTATGGTATTTGCCACCCCAGCCTTGCTTTAGACAGGATCATGTACCCAAACATCTAGAACATTGTAAATCTAGATTAGCTCTATTTTTTTCAGGTAGCCAACGGCTTTCCATCTCTGTTTATGGTTTTAAACATGGTTATTAATGCGTGAATACATCCTTGCAGGGAACATCGAATGCAACAGAAGATATAGATGAAGAGTTTACTCCTGTGGATGTGGATGTCAACCTTGTTAAAAACCTTCTTGACTCCTTTTCTTCCCAGCAAGGACTTCCTGGCCCAACTTCCAATTTGCTTGGGCTCATGGGTTTACAACTTCCCAAGGATGACAGTAAGGGCAAATGAGATCTATATGCCTTTGGTCTCTTGCTCGATTTATATACTTGTATAACAGGGTCCATGCCTCGATTGTTTTGTGAGGTGACTCCTCTATGGATATTGTATTTATCAGGGATTCTCTGTATTTATGTGTAGCTGCTGCATCCATATTGTAACATAAGGTAGCAAGGTGCTTTGAATGTCTAATATCTACCGAAATTTTGAAGTTGCATTTCAGGTCTTACAATTATTGTCTGATTTTTGAGTCATATAATAATTTAATAAAAGGATTCCAGTCCTACGTATACTTGAATCCGGGCTTCGTGGGTTAACCCTGCCTTCTGACTCTAAACAGGGGATCCTAAGGGGACTTGGGAGTTTTTAACAAAGCTAAGTATTAGAGTAAAGCGTCGTTCATGCAGCAGATGATAAGCTATCAGCACTCTATAGAAAGCTGCATTATTCATGCCTAATTTATTATTTGAGTATTAGTAAGGTTTGAAAAGTTCACTTTAAAATAAAAACGTTTAAAAGTATGGTTAAAAAAATGTAATTTAAAAATTTTAAGTATTTATTATTAATGTAAAAAAATATTTTTGGTGCATTAAAATGTCTAAAAAAATGTATAAAATAATAGAGATAAAAAAATAATTTACCTTCTGAAATTGCATTTCATGTGTAAATACACTTCTGAGGAGAGTTTTTGTGTTTGATTTGTAAAATTAAAAATTTTTATTGCAAAATTCAAATTTGACAGTAAAATTCAAAACCTTCATCCTGTTTAGCATTGAAGGTGGGTTGGAAAGAAATTTTTAACCAAAATTTTTTTAATTAAAAGGATTTTTAGACCTCAATGGTAAATCGCAACTGCAAAATTTTTATCTTATTTAGTATTGAAGATATGATGGAAAGGAATTTATTTTTTAACCAAGATTTTTAAACAAAAACATTTTTAGACCTTAATGGGGCCTCGTAAGGAGATGGCAGGAAGGATACTGATATAGCTGTCACAGATCAACTGTGACTGAAGAAAGAAAATAGAAAGAGAAAAGACCAGAAGGTAGAAGAAGAGACAATAGATCAGAAGAATAAGAGAAGTTTGAGAGAAAAGTTGTAAATTTCATTCCCCAGTCTGATTGTTACACCACTGGTGTTTTACAATTCTTCTAACAATTTACTAAAAATTTGGCTATAACTGTAAATTTAATGACAGCTGCCATAACAGAGCTGCCAACATAATGATTCCATGCATATTGACTACTATCCAGTTACCAAGTCAGCACAATCAATTGCACTATCTTTGTCGGCATTCTCATAGCCAGCTCCCATTTCAACCATTGATTTCATGCTCATTCCAGCTACTGGCTTTGTTTTAGCTCCTAACTTAGCTTTTGACTTAACTCTCGGCTCAACTTCTTCCTTCCCAAGCTTCATTTCCATTTTCATCAACTCCTTGCCATCATCCTTGCTAGCATAATGATTCATCACATTGTCAGCATCTTGTTGCACTTCCAGCTTTCCTCTGTTGCCACTATTAATCTGCAATTGCATCAACATGGCCCTCAACTTTATATCATCACCATTATTAGCATAAGAATTCATGACATTAGCATAGCCTTATACTTGTCACAAGAATATGAATCTTTATCGGAAGTAAGTCTTTAGAAAGAGGAGAGATTCTTCTAGCAAAGAAAGTCTCCTTATTTGTGAAAATTCTCTGTTTTTCTTGGTGTTTGACAGGGCAATTAGACAGCCTACATCAAATAGTTTGGCCATTTTGCTTCATTAATCCAAAATAAATGAACAGTGTTCCAAAAAAAAAAATAGTCACTATACTACACTTGAATGAATCTTGATTCTGTAGTTATAAAATTGAAAATGAACAAAAAATAATAATAAACTTTATAAACCATGGGACCTCTTGAAAATGGAAGTTACCTTCTTTCTTGGGGAGAGAGATAAAAAAAAAAAATGGAAAGAAAAGGATACGAAAGAAAAAGCCAGAGTTATTGAAAATCATGATTCCAAATAAAATTCAATAAATTTCGAAAAAAATAAAATAAAAAAGTTATTACACATCTATATTTTTATTTAAATCATTTTATATAATTATATTAATAAAAAATTAATAATTTATTACACATCATATATATGAATTTATTAAAAAAAATTCATTAATTAATTATTACATACGATATATAATAAATAATTATTTTTTAAAAATATAATTATCTAACATAATTTAAATAAAAAAAATATGTCAATGTGAAATAAGTGTTTCGTACAAAATTTTTTCATCACTCAACTACGAAAATATTGAAGAAATAAAAACCTATCAATCCCACTACTTATATTAAATAAATAAGAAAATTTATTAAAAAAAAAAAAAAAGAGAAGTCCCAAAAGCTAAAACATGGGATAGGTTTTTATGTGAGTATTTGTTTTGTCTATTTTGAGTTGAGTCCATCTGTTTTTTCTTCCAAATTGGGACCCACCCTTGGGGATTCTGCAATCACCAGTCACCAAGTGGTAAGTCCAAGGAATATTGTCTGACAAAAGTCTAGAAACACATCCAATGGTACTCATCGAATCTGTTTGACATTAAACGCTGTGCTTGAACCGGCCAAGAACACACAAAAGTAAACATATTCATTCAACCAATGATCTATTTCCTTTACATTGGCTCTTCCCTGTTCCAATTCATTGTCTGTGAATTATATTCTAGTAATATTCTCGTAATGTTTTAGATTAAAGATATTATTTTAGTAATATTTGAAATTAATTTGATATTAATTTACAAATATTGTATATTAATTTAATTAATTATAGTAATTAATTTAATCATTATTTTTATTAATTATAATTTTTTATTTTACTTTTGTATAAATAAATTTTAAATCTCGTTGTAATACATAAGTTATTACAATAAAATTTTCATCATTTTCTTTTTTGTCAGTCTCTTTTAGGTTTCTTAAGCAAAGAAAAACACACAGGAAGATGGTGCCAACGACAATTGATCTGTTGAAGAAAGACCTTCCCGTGGAAGAAGGCTCTTTGGTTCTTTCTCAAGATGTTAAGACTGGTCTTGTTCTTGTTGACGTTGTTAATGGCTTCTGCACCGTTGGAGCTGGAAATCTGGTAATTTTACCGAGCTTTCTTTTTCCCAAAATACATTTTTTGTCGTTGCTTCTTATAAACCTTTACAACATATAGTTTTTGCATGCTTTTAATAAACTAAATTGATAATTTTTGTTATATTTTGGAGAAATGGTTATCTCGGTTCTTGTATTTTTCTTGTTTCTATAGGCACCAATGCAACCTGATAAACAAATATCTGACACGGTTGAAGAATCTGTGAGACTAGCCAAGCAATTCTGTGAGAATCATGGCCTGTTTTTGCTTTCCTTGATTCCCATCATCCTGACGTTCCCGAGCCACCATAACCTCCTCATTGCATTGCTGGAACTGATGAAGCAAGATTGGTTCCTGGTACTTTATGATTACTTATTGTTCTTATTTATTTAGTTCTTCCCTTTCATTATATGAATCTATTGGCATGCATGTTTATGTATTGTAGCTCTCCAGTGGCTTGAGAATGAGCCAAATGCAACACTTAAATGCAAAGATTGCATTGATGGGTTCCTTGGTTCAATTGAGAAGGATGGTTCCAATTTGTTTGTAGATTGGGTTAAGAATAATCAGATTAAAGCTGTAAGTATTTTCTAACGATCACAAAGAGATAGTTCAGTTTTGATTGTTCTTTGTATGGCATATATGGGAAAGACTTAAAATATAGCTTTATATAAGATTTTCAGTCTAATCTCACCCACCTTTTTTGGATTTTTGAAGATACTGGTTGTAGGTATATGCACAGATATATGTGTTCTGCATTTTGTATGTTCCACTCTGTCTGCGAGAAATCGTCGTATGCTTAGCCCTCTTGAGGATGTGATTATGTACTCCAGTGCTTGTGCAACTTTTGATCTTCCAGTTCATGTTGCCAGAGTTATCAATGGTGCTCTGGCTCATCCTCAGGTAATTCAATCATAGAACATAGATTTTAAGAGTTTAATCCTTGTTTTGGTTCAATTTTGATATGCAGTAAAGTTTTATGTATGAAAGCATTTTTTTTATCTACCAATGCTTTCATTTGAAATGCTTTGTTTGATAAACATATCCATTGAAAGCCAATGGAGTCCACGTCTTAGGAAGTAGAGACTGTTAGTAGTCAATAATAACAGCACTCTTGCATTCTGGATAGGATGAAATTTTTTTTTTCAGATATGAACTTAAATCAGAAATGAAAACTCTGCCAACATTATAATCCTTAGGATTAGGCAAGTAATTGATCACAGAATCATCTTTATGACATGACCGTCTTTCAAGTTTCACATGTATAGCAGTCATCCAATTCTTCTTTTGGATTCATATAAGAACCACAAACTAGATGGTCTGGAAGAACCATTTGATCTGTTTATATTGTTTTTACTGATTTTTTTTACTGTAAATTATTTTAAAGCATCACCGCTAATAAAATTTCTAGCATACTGATAGCTGATATTTTAGTTTTGATTCAAACTACCTTTTGGTTCCTTGAAGGCAGTAACTCCCGAAGTTAGATCAATTTGGTTATTAAATTGGACATTGAATTTTTATCATACGTTCAGCCAAAGTTGTACATAATCTGAAACTAATTCACTATAGATGTTTGTACGGATACAATTGTTAGGCTAAGCATTCCCAATTGGGATGATTAATTGTGTACATGGTGGAGAGAGGTATCATGGAAAGTATTTTCAAGAAGTGTTAAATTTCCCTATGAACTTGTATTGGCATTAACATTCTATAGTTGAGGACGAATTTGCTGGCTGTATGCAGAAAATTTTTTCTGGAATATGTTGCTTGCTAGCCATTAGTTTCTTCAGACAATAAGAAAGGGTGTGAATTGGATATCGAGAACGCAATTTAACACACCGAATGTAGAAACGAGAGAATGTTTCAAAGAGACCCAAGCAAGGGGAATGCCTAATGGACTTCCATGCATATAGATGTATAAACATAGTTATTAATTCTCTTGGACATTTTTTTCCCATTAGTAACTGTATTCATATGAACATGCTTTTAGAGTTAGTAATCTAAGATTAACCGCAGTACTTATTACTTGTTGACTGTCACCTTCAGCATGTCCAGATATGGTAAGGTTGATATTAGACATTGAGGATGTAATTTAACTCAATGGATAGAGTACTGTGGTTATATTTGCTGAGAGTGATACCCCTAAAAATGCAGAGGCAATGCCTAAATAGGGATACATAAATAGTGATGCCACATTACCATGAAGATGTTTTTAAAGTTACTTAGTTGAAAACGAATTCAAATGATTTGTTTTGAGGTCCTTCATCAGCCACAATAGCTTTTCTCTTTTAAACAACAAAAATAAATGTAAAAAAAAAAAACTCGGCCTGCTTGTTAGCTTATTGATAGAAAAACTCTTTGAAAATTGTTCATATGGCAGGATCTCATGCATCACATCGGTCTATACATGGCCAAGGGAAGGGGAGCCAGGATTGTATTGCAGGTCTCATTTGCTGCTGTCTAGGAGACAAGTTCGTCAGACATCTAAGACTGCTGGAAATGTGTACTATATGTGATTTGAAGCTCCGCAACTATGCGCTGCAATAAATAGTAAAGATATAAAAACTTGCTGTTTTCCTGTAATATCTTCAAAAAAAAAAAAAAGAAATTCTTGCCCTGTTTTCGGCAGATAATAAATCTGCTCCTTTTTTGCTCTATAATGCTATATTTGATTGTCAATATCTCCATTGGCGGTAAATTTTCCGCAGAGCAAAGAAAGTTGATTGGCAGTATTGCAGCTTTTCAGTCAAACAGTTAAGTGGTTTCAGTAAATAAAAATATAAATAACTGCCTCTATGTAATTTGGCCTTTTGCAGATTCACACGGCATCTGTTCCCTAGTAATTCATATTCCTTACTGCACACTCTTCAAAGCTGAAACTTCCAGCCAGTGACAAAGAATTAAAAAGGGAAAAGAAGTTGAATATGAAGAAGAATGAGGGGAAATCATTACTTGATTAGACTTTGATTGTATCACCGATTTCCTTTGTCCTTGGTGAAGAAACTTGAATGGCTGATATCCTATCAATCTGATATTTACTCTTGTGTTGAATGGAAACAAAATGGATTCCAAAAATGAAGCAAGTTTGCTAAAGCTTCCGAGTGAATGAGAATGAAAATACAAATAACAAAAATATTCCTCTCATGTTGATAGTTGGAGACTATAAAACATTTGCAGCCAACAGAAAACTGGCTTTTCCAGTCCATAAACAAAATGAGAAAAGGAAAGGTGTTGCCTTCGGTGAGAGTACCACTAAAAGGAAAGAAATCAACTTTGAGAAAGGAAAAAAAAGCTTATTAGTATAAGAAACACAAACAAAACCAAAAAGTTCACCTACTGCTACTATTTCCCGATCTTAAACCATTGTACTTCCGTTGCAGTGCAGGGTGTACGCAGGAAAAGATGGATGTCTTTTGCTTCTTTGGTTTGACGCCAAAGATAAATGACCTCAAAGGAACTCCAGATCTACTATCTGAGAGTTGCAGCTGGCTACTTTGACGGCTCTTAGATCCAGAAAGTCCCCAATCTTCAGTTAACTTTGCCAGGGTCCTCTCAACTTCAAGCTGTAGTGTTGTTAAATGATCTAAACCAGCTTGCAGTTCATCTGCAACTTTGTTATTCTCTTGTTTCATGTTCAAAATCTCACCTTGGAATTTCGCTGCTTGGTAACTTGTGAAACTGAATTCATCATCTTCAGCACTTGCTTTCAAAGCCTTAGTGATTTCTTCTTGAATTTCACACAAAGATGAGAATCGGTTCTTCAGTTCTTCTTTAAGTAATACACTTTTTTCCAACCAGACACTCAATTCAGTCTGTACTTCTCTCAGGTGTTTGTATAACGGTCGCACATCTGATTTTAGTGAATATTTTGTGGTGCTACTTCCATCTTGCTTTTTTCTTTCCTCGAGTTTTGATGCCTCAGCCTCTAAATCTTTCACTTCAGTATCAAATTTCTGTACCTCATGGAATGCAGTGCTGAATCTGAACCAGAATTCCAAGTTCTCTTCTAGCAGTTCGTCAATGTTCATCCGGAACTTTTCTTCAATTGCTGAAGTAGTTTGAGACTGTTTAATTAGCATCATTCCAATGTCTTCTTCTACCATTTTCTGTGGTGCCGGAGTTGTTGCGGTTTCAGTAACTATTGATTTCTCAGAACTTACTCTAGGTTCAACATATTGATAAGTATTGTTGTTTTCAACAATACCTGTTTGGAAAAGGCTTAATTTCTGACGTAAGGATCGAATCTCTTCATCTTTCATGGCGTTAGAGCTCTTCAGTTCCTTTAGCTGCAATGTTACGTCAAACAGGCTGTTCTGGTTATTTGTCTCTACTTCCATGAGCTTCTTCTTGGTGTCCTTGAGGATCCGAAGCATTGTAGTATATTCCATCAATAGATTCTTCTCTCTGTCCTCCATACCTTTCATGAACAACTGCTTCCAATCTGGCTCATCCTCTTGCAGCTTCCAATCTGGCTCATCCTCTTGCCCTCTCTCATGTTCTTTTGATTCAACTTTGGCAAGAGTGTCCGCTGTCTGTGAAGAAGCATGCTCATCAACTTTTCCCTCTGCTATCAGGTCTTCACATTTCTCTGAAGGCTTAGAAGTTTCATGGCTATCACCTCCTTTATTTGTGGAATCACGTGCTTTCGCATCCTCCCTCTCTTCCAATTTCACATCCTCCCTCCCTTCTAATTTCGCATCCCTTCCCTTTGTAAAGCTATCATTCTGATCAAGTTTCTCTCCTTTTTCTTCCGACTCTTGTCGCAATTCAATATTAACCAGAGAGTCCTCTTCTTTCTGTAAAGAACCTGACAACACGACCATCTCCTCTAGTTTTGCACTTGGCAAATTTTTGCAGCCCTCACTTGGATCCAGATTCCTGCTCTCTTGTTCTTTGGACTCTTTTTGGGATTTGACTTCAGCTGGAGAGTTCTCTCTTTCTGATGCATCAGCTACCTCAAACTCCTTTTCAGCTTTCACCTTCTTCGGCCTCTTGTCTTTGATCTCCTTCTCCCTTGACGATTTGACCTCCACAAAAGAGCTGTTCTCCTCTCTTTCAGGCTCCTCATCTGGCTTCACACTATGCACTTTCTCAGAAAGGTGATCAAGGTTACAATGTGCTTCAATAAAATGAGTTTGGAGATTGTTGTTTTGATCTTCTACGCTCTGGTTCAAATCCTGAATCCCATGCAACTTCTCCTCCATCTCTCTTAGCTTGTTCCTCAAATCATTTTTTCCTTTAATCAGCGCGGCCTTATCGTCTTCGAGGGTCTGAATCTGGACTTGAAGCTCATCCGTCTCTGTCCTTAGTCTCTGGATAAGAGCTGTCTGAGATGAGACTGCAGTTTCTAAGTTGATCACCTTGTTCACAAGTTCATCAATCTTCTCCGCCATGTCAGTCACAGTCAAAGATTCACCCAGGCCAACCTCAAAGTGCTCCTTTATCTTCTCCCTTAAGGACTCCATGTCCTTTTTCTTTTGGTTGGTATCATACACTTCTTTTTCTAACCTTTTAGACTTTTCTACTGCTATTCCTGATTCATCTCCAGCAGATGGTTTTTCCTGAATGACTTCGTTTAAGAGAAACTTGTTCTTAAGGGAGTCCAACTTCTCCCTGGCATCCTTGATCCTTTTCTGCTCCACTTCTGCTTCCATGACTGATCTCTCCTGTTTCTCCTGCAGCTGATCCAATGTCTCTTTGCATGATTTTAGAGCTGTTGCTGCCATCACATTTCGAGCCTCATCATCTTCAATGACCCTACCTTCACCAAATTCATCTTCCAAACTGCAAACTTTCTCTTGCATTTCTTTTATCTCATTATCTACATCCCAGTACTTTGCCAGCCCACTCTCATAAGAGCTCTTAAAGAATTCTTTTTCAGTCTGCAATGCCAGGATTCGTTTCTGAAGCCTGTCAATCTCATCAAGTCCCTCAGCCTTGGTCAAACCAGATTTAGGAACTGCAGTGGCAGTGGCTTTTGTTGATTTCTTTTGTTGCGTTTTCTTCGTGGCTGATGTTATTAAACCCTTTAAATCTTTGACAGGAAGCTTCGGAACCTTGGGAATATTGCCTTTGGAGTTTTCTGAAGACTTCTTTGGGAACCTTGGTGTGCTATCTTCGTCTTCATCATCCATCGCAAACTGGACTTGCTCTGGACAAACAGAAGCAATTGTGTTGTTTGCATTTTGTAACTCTGTTGATATGTGATCATACCTTTCGGCTAAGGCACGGTAAGCTCTGTAAGATTCTTCCACAAAATGTATCAGTTCTGGCCTCTTTTTGTAGTACATTTCTGCTCTCCTGGCAAAGGAGTCTCCATCTTCTTCTATGAGTTTAACCACAGCCGCTACCTTTTCCTCCATATCTGCATTTCCCATTGTATTTCCTTAGAGTTTTCAAATCATACAGATACAGCTTGAATGTTTCAAAGCTAAAAACTAGTTGATCATAGATGCAGTTTACCACCAACTTCATAAATATCCTAAGCTGTTAATTGCTACATATAATCAGAATGCAAGTTTTAGAAGGCTATTAAGTTTATTGGATGGGTTCTTTATTTTTTCATAAAATTTCCTTTCAAATTTCTATCATATGGAAATAGAAATTAGATCAAAGTTTAACCTTAGCTAGATGATGGACTTTGTTTATAAAATTCTTGCAATTGATCTAAAATAATCATAAATTTCAATTTAAAAACTTCATTAAAAATTTTGAAGATCAGAGGCATAGAGGTACAAACTTTAAAAAATAAATAAGACGAGTTTGAAACCATAGGAAGTAAATTTTTCATAAATTCGTTAAATTGATATAAATAAATTTGTTTGGATCAATTGCAAAAAAAATCTGGACGGAGGAATCCTGGAAACTCTTGTCCCTAAACTCAAAAAAAAAAAATAATAATAATAATAAGCTTGTACAACAACAGATTTTTCTGGCTGTTCTTAGAAGATTGCTTCATTTAATTATGAAAGAAAATAAATAATATTATACACATTTTTCTTAAAAAAGAAAAAGAATATTCAATGAAGATGCTGGATCACAAAGAAACTCAATCTGTCTAGCTGCAATTGCAATGTTTTTTTTATTATTGAAATAAAAACTTATCAAAATTATCAGAAAAGACAGGAAAATCATACCCAATTTCAGTCTTTTTTTTTCTTTTTTTCATTCAAATAAGGCAAACAAAGAGTCATGAAAAAACACCAAAAACCCAGAAATTACTAAACTTTTAACATACAAGGAAGAACATAAATATTATACCTTGAAGGTTTTGCTCCATCCATTTTGACTGCTTTGTTCTGATATGGCTAGCCCACCACCATGAATATGCATTGCTAGCAGCTCTTTGCAACATCTTTTTCAAACCCCTTTTTTTATCTTCCTTTTCCTCTCTCTTGAAAGAACAACAATACCAAAAACTTAGAAAAAGCCTCTTTTCTTTGTTTCTGCTAGGATCCCACAAGCATGCAAAGCTCTCTTTATCTTCCTATAAAAGAAAGGGACGACATGGAAGCCAATGAGAAATAAGAGAAGGAAGAGAAATGGAAAAAAAAATCAAAGGAAAATTTAATAAGTTCTTAGTTTTGACATGCAACAAAGAAGTCTGTGTTTTTTGTTTTTGTTATGGGATCATGGAGGGGAGCAAACCTCGCCCGAATATATTGTTGAAGCAATGAAGCCATGGAAGTGGCATTGTGCCTTTAAAAAAAAATAGTTCATAAGTTTCAGCCAGTGATCTGTCTCCACCTGGCATTCCTGTCTTTTACCAGGGTGTTAAGGGCACCCTACTTTTTCCTTTAAACGACTTGTTCTATTTCCATTGAATTATTAATAAATAAGGTTTTCAAAAGTGTGGGAAAGCAATCAATTTTATTAGAAATAAAAATTGTTTAAGATCTGTAAACTGTCAGTCTGTCACCTACTTGGAATTTTTCCCTTTGAAAAAAAATAAAGGATGCTTTTAATAAGGAGTGTTTGAAGATTAACGCTAGGTGCCCTAATCAATTGGTTGAGCAATGTTCAATAACAGGTTTTTCAGTTATATTTTTGAAGGGCACTCATTCTAGAAATTGAAGCACTATTTTTCAGCATTGCTAACTATCCTTTAGGCCTCCATGGCTGGATTTTGACCCACTGAAAAAAAAAAAAAAATGAAAGAAGCTAAATTTCATGTCTCCATGGTAACTATGCTTAAAGCAGTAATTTTATATAATTATTTTTAAGAGCTAATATTTAGTAGATTTAAATTTTAATATTTACAATTCATTTTTTTTTATTATTTTCAAGTTATGATCTTTGTCTGTAACAAAAAAAAAATTTCTAACTACTAAAGTATCAAGTATAAAGATAATAAAAGGGGAAGATTTGTAAACAAAACATTTTTTGTAGAAGTTTTATTTTTTGGTTATTTAAGATGAATGAAGGGAAATTAGTTGAAGATGATTTTGAATGAGACAATTGGATAACAATGTTTACTAATTTTGGATCTTCAAAATTAGCAAAATGTCACATTCTTGCCTTGTCTAAAGGTTAAAATATCAGCACAATTCTCTTTTCTAAAGGAAGAGGGAAGGGACTCAAGTTTATTTTGTTGTCATCTATAAAGAAAGGGTTGATAAAATCTTGTCCAAGGGAAAAATATGGATGCTTTGCTCTCATTGGAATAATCTTCATGCTGATCAAGGCAATTGTGACATTTTTAACTGCCGCCCTTCCCAAACAAAAGAAAGAGAAGGAAAAGAAGGGGAAATCTTCAAAGTTTAACAGGAACAAGAAAATTATGACAGGCTTGGCACTTGGCAGCATCAACCTTCAATTTTTGAACAATAATTTGAATCATGGCTTGCATTGCATGCATGGTTACCCAAAAGATGAGAAGAAATGAGATCAGGGAGGGCCTTGACAGACAGCCCTTAAAGCACAGCCTTTGTTTTTAGACAAAGCTAATGCTCTCAATCACACTTTATCAGCGATTGCTTGAGTCATTGTTTGGGGTAAAAGCCATTGGCGTCATTGCCAATGCAAAGGTTATGTGGGGTTAGGCATGGAATGGAGAAAGGTGATATTTAGAACTGCAAAGATCAGCATATACCAAACGTACGCTCTCAAAAACCCTTTTTCTTTGAAACTTTATGGCAAAAACTGCAGGATCATCATGTTATCACAGCAAGCAGCGAGTATAGATTTCAGCCCTGCACGATTTGAACATCTAATACCGCATCTCAAGTGGTCCTCTCAAGGCCCACGAAACTTTAGGAGCCAAGGACAACACCTTCATTTCCTGTCTTTTTTTTTTCCCCTTTAAACGATGGAATAAGATTAGGAGACCCATTTGTTTATTGTTGCAATTGATCAGAACTACTGAACCATGTGGACCACGTTCACAGCATGAGGTTGCTGTCAAGGGAGAAAAAGAGGCAGGACAACAGCCCTGGGGACCCGCCTCAACAGCGACAGAAGAAACTTGTGCAATATTTTTTACGTTAAAAAGTGTGCACTGCTCAATAACTCACTTTTTCACAAAGGGAAAGCAGGCCATAAATTGAACGTGGCTGTGTAAATATAAAGATTAAAGTGAAACGAATTCTTGCAACCGGGGATAAGAGGGTATATTACTCCTCATACTAGAGAAAAAGAAATATTTACAAAATTGATAAAATGGTAGATTACTAGGGAAAAAGATCAAAGTTATTCACAGTAGCAGTAGGAAGGACCATTTCTTGCATATTCACAGTAATACAATTTACAGAAAACAAAAAATTTTCCACCATATCTTCGTATATCCACAGATGCAGTTAAGTAGGAAGGATGACTTGACAAAACAGAGTAGCTCCCTGGAAACATGTGTGGTCTTCCAAGTCATCTTGAAGAGGAGAAAATGCATCCTTTGTGCATCTCCATTCTCCATGGACTTAGCCCTTGGCATTTTACCAGAAGCTGAAGCAGATGCTCTTTACCTGCCACCTTTTTTACATTAATATTTGATACTATAATAGGTTTCCTTCTTAAGGAGTACCCCCGGCTGAAATATCTCCGGAAATTTCATCTACAGTCAGGTCGGTCAGCCACTTGTAGGCTTTCAGAAGTTATGAAGAGAAGAAAACCACTGCTGCACAGAGTTGCTTCCTTCTGCATATTTTAACCAAAATGCAAAGAAAAAGTTAGTAGGCATGAAATATCTCAGGCCCATGTAGTAGACAATGAAGTCAATGGCGAGAAACATCCAATGCAGCATTTTCTGTGAAAAGAGCATGTATAAATATCTTTTAAAGGCTCAGAAACACCCACCTCACAAGTCACAAGAACTGCATTATGGAATGCAACAGATTTACATATATAAGATGATAAGTCCAAAGCCTCACCAGTCACTCCATGGCATAGAAAGCTATTCACACGATAGAAAATTGTAAGTTGTGATTGACAACATTCTGTAATGTCTTTCAGAGGATGCTACCAAGCAGCTCCAGATAGACTTATAAGCATATACAAGCTAAATCATATAGTAATAAAATTATAGTGTTGGGCAAACTCAAGTTTCTTCTGAATTAGAACCAAGGTTCAAAATAAATTGCTGCCTAAAACTACGAAAGGTCGCTCAGATAGAAGCTTGCAACAAATTAGTTGAAAGGAAGAATGGGCCAAAATGGCAGCATTAAAAGTTCACTCTGAAAATTGATCCTGCAATGTCTGAGACATTTTGACAAGTTGCATCAATGATTACTTAACAATTATCTTAAAATGGTAGATACCTCAAAATATCCTGATGTTTTCTTCTTGGCATTATGTGCCCCCCATCAATCCCACCCTAACATCCGCAGAAAGAGGACATCCACCACGAAAAAGAGGGGAAAAAAAAAAGATGCAAAAGCACTTATGCATGGCATCATGTTACACTTTTCCCATATTTAAAGGAACTAAAGGCTGCCTACGGTCAGTTGACCGCTAGAGGTTGCTCTCCACCGCTCACCAAGTTTAAAGCATCTTTTTAACAAGTGCAAGTGTTCTTGTTTCATTAAAATGTATGTTCCATAGATGCTTTTTTAATTTGAGTGATATATAATGCAAGGATTTGTGAAGTGACCATACAAGTATGCAAATATCGCCTTACAAAATGGGTTTTAAGGAATCGACAAAGCAAAATTCTCGTTAAACTACTTATCTCAATACCTTCAAAGTACAGAACAGTGATATTACTGTTAAGTAGAGACAGCAAAAGCTTACAATCAGGCATAGAAAAGAATGAAGAACAATCTTAACTACTTGAAAAAAAAAGAAAAAGATCTAAAGTCTTATAATCTGACCAAATCCATAAAACAATCAACTACCTTAACAATGACACTCATAGACAATGGTTAAATTGTGATGGTTCAACTAACAAGCTGATTTCAGGTGTCAATCCACAATCAATCAAAATAAATATTAGAAAAGGAAAAGGGGATTAAATAAGTTTATAATGAATAAGGGCTTACCAGAAGAGAACACATTTGGGAGGTTCTTGATTGCACTCAAGAGCTGGTTGTTGGGGCCCTCTACAAGTTCCTTGCAACCAGGTCTATAACAAGGAACCAGCACAGCAAATCCACCATCATCTTCATTATCACCTTGAAAACCAGGACCATGGGGTTCTTCCCATCCAATGGACCATTCTGGACCATCTGATTCATATCCAGACAAATGCATACCATCTGATGAAACCACCACTATATCACATTCTTTATCAACCACCCTCCTCTCCTCACTACCTTGCCACGTTCCCTTTCCTTTCGCTGAGGCTATTTTTGTTTGAAATTTAACAGTTTCAGACTCTCTCATCCCCAACCCCCTATCAGAAGAAGAAGAAGAAGAAGAATTCAAAGAAGACCCATTTAAAACAGGCTGTTTATCTTTACTTCCACCACTCCAAAACCACCATGGAAAACGAGGAAAAGAAACTGCCATTTTTTAAAAAACAACCTTAAAACTCCAAAAATCTTTCCCTTTTTTTTTTTTTTGTAATTCAAAATGGTTATTTTTTTCTTGCCGTTAACCACTAAATTAGAAAATTATCAGTTGAGTTTGATAATTAAAAAACAAGATCAAATTTTGGGAAGATATTAATTGAATCAAACAACTATTTGAATCATAACTAAAGTCAAAAGCTAGTAAATTAAGCTCAAGCACACTGTCTTCTCTATCGAATTTTCTTTAAAAAATCAAACCCAAACAAGTTTTTCCAATCAAATGGGTCTTTTTCTGATACCAATGTTTTCTTAGTCTACATTTTTTATGACCCTTTTCTCTTACCTCAAAATTGTCCAACTAAAGCCACCAAGTTTCGGTAAAAAAAAAAAGCCCCAGACAGAAAAGCCCAACATATATCCAAAATTTACAAAATTAACTTCAAGCCAAAAAAACCCTTTTTTTTTAATTACTGAAATGAGCAACCGCTAGAAGCTCCAAATTCTTAGAACCGGCGGTTCAATTTTGATTAAAAGATGTAAAGTCCTGGAGAAAATCGGGATTATCCGGGATCGCCACCCGACGAAACAAGAATCGGAAAAAAGTGTCAACGAAAAATCAAAAAAACCAAACGCTTCACCGGAGGAAAACGAAAAATGCAAGCTTTTTAGAGAGCAAATAAAATAAACGTTGAATTCACTGAAAAAAATTTAACACACTGGAGACTGGAGAGGAAGAGAAAGAAAATTTTAATCACCAAAGGGAAAATCGATAACCCTAAAACTTACTTTCTCTCACTCATCTCCATTTTATCTTTACTTTCTCTCCTTGTCTCTCTAGGTTTCTCTCTCTACTGTGACAGTCATCTCATAGAGTTAGTCCTCTTCAAGAATTTATAAGCCCTTTTTTATTCACTAACGTTTTTTTAAGTAGGAGTTGTTTTAATCAGAGCACATTGACGGTCCAGATGCAACGATGTAAGTAAATGATTAAAGGTTGATTAAAATTTTATTTTGCCGTTGATATGGCGACCAGTGGGGAAGATAACCGTCAGATTTGCTTACGTGGGTATCGTAAAATCCAATCATTGCAACCAGACAAGGTTCTAGAGTCTGACACGTGTAAGTAGCTCAGCCTTTGGGGTTTTTCGCACGCAATCCTTTATATTACTTTAATTCGTTGGTTGCTCCTTCAAATTATTAATTACTTACAAGAAAGGACTTGGCAGATGATTTTGTAATTGGCATCAATTATTTGATTTAAATAATAAATATGTATTTTATTTCAAATTATGGATTCAAAATCAACATATCAATTAATGCTTCTTTCAACTTTTATTAATGAATTTGGTCTCTATTATTTTAATTTTGTGATTTTTGTCTTTGTATTTAGTTTTAATTAATTTGACCCTACCTTTTTTTTATATATAAAAACTCAATTTAAAGATAATTGATAACCGTATTTAACTTCTCCAATTAAATTCAACTATATAATTTTTTAATTAATGATGTAATAATATATTAACTTGGATTTTTTTATCATAAAATACAAAAAATTTTATTCAATTCTTCTCAATCAAGTAATCATCAAAATTTTATTTTATTCAAATTAAGAGCACATGTATCAAATTCATTAAAATTAAATTAAAAAATAATAATGATGACGATAATAATGATAATAATAATAACAACAACAACCACGTTCATTCCTTTTGTTTTAGGTAAAAAAGTAAGTGGAACCTTTGCAAAATTACTTTAATTGTAATATTAGTTAAAAGGTGGGAAAATATTACTATTTGTTTTCAAAAATAAAAAAGTTAAATTAAATAATAGTATAATTTTTAGGTAAAGGAAAAGATAATTTTAATTTTTTACTTTTTCATGGCTTCTTCATCATATGATATTGTTTATCCTTTAATAAGTGAACCAATAATAATGTTGTGCAGTAATCCATGACTTGACCTTCACATATTATAAGGATGATTTTCCTTGAATCATTTCTCTTGTCTTGTTGCTCTTTCATGTCAACTTGAGGCCTATCATGTGTGCAAGAGCTGTCTCTAAGAATTTTTCCTAGTCCTCTCCCATTGTTTTTGATTTGATATTTATTTTCCTTTACTAAGTGCTGTCTTTAACATGCATCGTGCTTCACAAAAAAACTGTGTTTGGTTAAAAAAATTAAAGTAATAAATTTTATTATTTTATTTTATTTTACCAAAAAAATAAAAAAAGAGTCAACCCTTCGGTCTCGGTTATCCGTCCTTTTGTGTGGAAGGATGAACCTCATTTAATTGGGTGGTGATTTCTTTTCGAGTTGCAATTCTACAAGAGCCATTGGTTAAAAAGCATCATTGCTTTTAAGCAGCCTGAAAAGCATGATGCAAAAGTCTTTGTATAGTAAAACAAGATAAAGATATGTATGGTTTTCAAATTTTTTTAGATGATTCTTAATTTTTTATTTACTTTTACTTTTTAAAATATATAAAAAGTAAAAATAATATTTTTTATATAAAATAAAAAACTTAATATGTTTTTCATATATACTAATTACCAAACATATCTGCAATTAAGACTATTTCATGATTAATTGAATTGAATAAGAATGTCTGTTAATCTTAATTTTGCTTTTTTATTTATTTAAAAATTTTAGTAATTGAATGTTGATATTAGATTAAAAGTTCAATATTTTAAAATTATCAATTAAAAAAGAGTTAATGTTGTGAATAATTCATAAATTATAGTAAAATATTTAAAATAGTAAATAATTTAAAAAAATTTGAATGTAATACTTAAAATATAAATTTATTAATTAATGTATTATTCATTTATAATGTAATTAACTTTAACTAATGATATATAATAGATAAATAATTTTTTAAGTATCATATTAATTAAAAAATTTATAATTTAAATATCATATCAAAAATTTTTAAAATTTAAATACCAAATTAAATATTTTAATATAATTTAAAAACTATTCATGACATTAATTTATTAAAAAATAATACCTTAATTTTCAATCATAATATTCCTCTTAGAAAAATCGTGGGATTTCGGGTGTTATAAGTCAATTGAAATTACCTTTACATCAAAACTAAGATCATTCTAATTTAAAAATCAAGAGAGAATCACCAAATAACACGCAATTTCCAAGAAGAGTCATCGATTACTAACACGAAATGGGCTTTGGTTACTGGCATTAAATTATGTACATAAAGAATTTCATCAACAAGTTATATAGTATTAATATTGAAATTTATTGGCAATAGGGCCAAGTTGGGTTTGGTCATACGGACAATGGATCCCACTTCTTTTTCACAAGAATTTATAATTTCAGGTCGTAACACACAGCATAATATTCAACAACTTTTAATAGAGAGGTAGACGAAAGAAGTATCCTTCGCCCACTTGCACTTGCCATGAGCCCACGACAGTGAGCTTATCTTCCTCCACTTTAAGCCTCCTCCCCCACGTGCCTTTTAGACCTTAGGCCACTAACGCTAAAAGTATTAAGGTGACGCATTTTTCTCTCTCTTTTTTTTTTTTTTTTTGTGTTACGGCAAAGTGGGTAAATTTTGACATGGTAACTATATGTCATTTTTTATTATTACAAAAAATTGACATGACAGTATTTGCTTGACTTTAGTTTCGTGTTTTATTAAGTAAAAAAGAGAGAAAAAAAAGTAAATAAATTAATTAAAAAGAAAATTAAAAATTAAAAATAATCTAAAATCCTTAATTTTATGCCATAAATTTTATCCTTAATTTGAACATTAAATTTCCATAATATGACATTAAAATCTTTAATTTTTTTTAAAAATTTTTGAATTGTCATAGTTTCAACTACCATTATGACCTCTTCTTTGGCCGGTTTGGGAGTGTGCTGTAACGATTAATAATAATTAGTCAGCCTTATTAATTATTTTGAACCTCTTAGTTTTACTCTTTAAATTCTGCCCTCTTGATATAGACGTTTGTCTTCTTCCTTATTTTGTAATTGAGCTGAAAGAGACTCCAAAGTTTGAAGTGATCCAGATTGACTGCTGATGAGGCTTCATGTTCTTTTAATTCAGTGCCATTTAGCCACTAAATTTTATTTGCCCATTTGTCATTAAATATGATTAAAAAATAAAATAATTATATTGTTGAAGATATGTGGAATTGTTGTACCAAGATAATAAAGCTGATCTTTTGAAAAGATGTTTGATTACAATTTAGGTTATTGAAGAACATGCGTTTTGTCCCCATTGTTGAAACCTTAATTAGATCATCCTTTGATTTAACGTAAAAGCTATGCTTAAATTCATGAGTTTTAGTTAAACTTTTTCTTTATGTTTTTTTTAATACAAAAATTGTCGTAATTTAAGTATAAGAGAAGAAATTATAAATATTAAAATTTAAATAATAAATTTATTAAATATTATTTTTAAAAAATATTTAAATGAATTATATAACTAAAAGAACTCATATGCAGAGAGATAGTCGAAACTTAGGAGACTAAAATTTTCAAGCAAAAGATTTAGGTAAGCAAAGCATTTTTTTTTTATAATTATTATATTATAATTAATCATAAATTATGTAAAATTTATCAAAATATCATTTGAAATTCGCGTCATAAATAATAAATTTTTATATTTTTTTTCTTAGAATTGAATAATTATAAAATTATAATAAAACAAATGAAAGTGAAATGATTGTAGGCAGACCCTCATTAGTTCTTTTTGTACCACCGAGCCCTCGGACTGTGACACTAGCACATGAATGTGCGCGTGAACTAAAAGTTGCTTCAGTTTGAAGAGGGCCAGAGTCTAGACATAAACACCAAAAAAGCTGATTAACAAGGTCTTTAAAACAAAGATAAATACACGTGGCAAAGCTATAAATAGATAGTCAATATTTGAGGAATTGACATCAGAAGGAAGAGAAAGTTGGTGTTAATGGCAGGTAGATATAATAATTTTAGATACGATAAAATATAAAAATAATATAATTGATTTTTTTGAAAAAATTATAAATAAATTTAATAAAATTAAAAAATAAATTTTATATTATTATATTAATATAAATTATAACACATAATTTTTATATAAAATATAATATAAATATATAAATTTTTAATATTTTACATAATATAAATATATCAATTATCATAAAGATATGAATTATGATAGTCTAGATACAAAGTGAAAGCAGCAAAGATTTTTAGGAGTGTCATAGGCACGTGGTTTGTAATCTGTCACACCATATGAGGCATAAGGAGCAAATCCAAGATTTGCTTGCCTGTCTGCGCATGATTTTTCTGCCCCCCAACGCCCCCAAATGACTCGCTCAATATATCTTTCTCTTGATTGGTCTAGTGGGTGGTTCAATACTTCATCGCTGAATAGACAGAGAGACGGTCCCATTTTTCACTGGAATTCTTTTGATTTGTTCTTAAGATTCTTGATGACGATGACAATCAAAGTTTGATCGATCTGCTCCCTATGGAAATTGTCGTCCCACTCAACAAGCAATACATTCCTGAAAAGACCATGATGTTCGATTTACGAAATTGCACGAATACTAGAATTTAAAGTCTCAACTCTAAACCATTAAAAATGATGATATTCAACAAATTAGTTTAAATCTTCTTGGATTTTACCCATTTTCCTTGTCTTGTCTCTTGAGAATTGAGATGATTCCCTCCTTGTTATACATACAATACTGACCTGTCTCATGTGTATTCATGCGGTCCCTTTATACTTTTAGCTTGATAAAGATAAAAGGTAGGGCTATATGAAACTTAAAAGCATACTTGATAATTGCTTAATCCCACATTGGTAGAAAACAAAAGCCAAGACTCTAAAAGCAGTAATACGGAACTGTTGTGAATTATATATAATATTATATTATAACATATATAAAAATTTGATAA